GTGGAACACAGAGGTCTCTTAGTGACCTAAAATACATAAATATAATTTTACTTACCGAAAAAAATGAAGTGGAGACTCCTTGGACGCTCTATTAGTGCAATTAATGCCACAGCAAGTCATTTTGTCCAACAATTGCACAAATAATATCCAAAACAGAATACACAAACACAGAGACTCAAAATCCATGAACAGTTTCCAAGCCAGACCGAGGCTCTACTGACGCCTTTCCACGGAGCTAGCTCTGTGGTCACGTGGGTCGGATGCTCATTAATTATACATAATTTTAGGCTTTTAATACACTTAAACAGAAGAGTGAGAAAAACATTCACCCCCCTCAGAGTTGTCATGAGTGTAAACTAGATCATTTAAACCAAAAACATGTTTTGGTACCAGGCTGTAAACATGTTTATTTCTGCTGTGAAATTGGTATTTTTAACATGGGAGTCAATGAGGATTTGCTCGCTTCTGACACCAGCCCCTGGTGGATGAGGGTGGAACTGCAATTTTTGGTACTTCCGGGCTGAGACCAATTTTAGAGCCGTTTTGTGCGGGCTTGCCCACCACCACCACCACCACACACACACACACACACACACACACACACACACACACACACACACACACACACACACACACACACACACACACACCCTGCTCTCTTGGCTTCACTTCATTCAAAGGAGCCAGTCTTTTGAACGGCTCTTGGAGGTAAACGACCGACTAATGAATGGCTCCCATGATAGAGACATAAATACCATCACTACGTGCCACAAATCACAACACACAAAGGGCATACAAAACACGTCTCCTCCCACACATATCACATCCTGTCTCTGGGTGTGAATGTAGCCCCTTGTTGGTCGCTCTCCGGCACCACCCTCCTGCAAAATCAGCTCACCTCAGGTCGTAACAAAACCAGAATCTTGAACGTGTAATAGTGGGCGTTATCAAAATCCCTCAGACATCACTCCTTCCTCAAACACTTAGAAGAGGTTATTTAATGTAAAGTAAAAGTGTCAAACATTAATGCAAATTAAATATGTGAAATATTATTATTATATATTATATATATTATTATAATATTATTCATAATAATATACCAATATAACTGTGTGACTATACTGATAAATAAATACTTCTTAAATTCAACAAGTAGACTCATTCGGTGTATTTTAAGAAAATACATTTATGGGGATCAAGGCCAGATTAACCATATGGGCAACTGGGCAATTGCCCAGGGCCCACGAACTCTAAAGGGCCCAGGGCAGCAAGGGCACGAGCAAAATACTGTATCTGTAATCTCCCGCTTTATATTAAACTGGGGTGACCGTACGTCCTGTTTTCCCCGGACATGTCCACTTTTCACTCTCTGTCCGGGGCGTCCGGACTGGGGGTTCTTGTATTGATGAAAATGTCTGGCTTTTCATCCAGGAGCAGGGATGGGGAAGTTAGATATCCTACACATCCAGGGGAGCCAGAAGAAAGTTTTCTACCTATATTACATCATTTATGGACTCTTCTGAGCAGAGAGCACAGAGAGCGGCAGAACGCTGATCGTTGATGCGCTCCAGGCTACTGCTTCCAGCGCACGGTCCATTCTCAAAGTGGCGCAAACAAAAAACTATAATTAGCACACGATCGTTCATGTCTGCTCATGTTCTCTACTTTCTGTCTTATTTGCGCCTGAAGCGCTCTGCTACTGCGGAGCTCATCACCTGTGCTGCGGTGATTTCACCTCACTGACGCAGCATCGAAACGCGCTCTGCGCTTTACGGTCAGGAGATCCCTTTGATCTGATTAAAAGTAACTGATGAGGTGAAAAAGTAAGAATCCAGGCAGCAGATTTTCTGGAGAGTTTAGAGGAGATGCAGGAAGATGAGAGACAGACAGGACAGGAAATAGTTCAGTAAAAACAAGAAAACAAAACAACGTGTTGAAAAGTAAAATGTAGGTAGATTTATCTCAACGACACGTTTTTACCTATAAAACAATAAGTTATACACATGTAATATTTATACATCTGATACAATTCAGATCACCTTCACAACTCAGTCACACATCCAGGGCCGTTTCAAGGCATTTTGGGGGCCAAGGCAAGATGATAACACCCCCCCCCCCCCCCAATAACTGGGCTCCCCAGAAGCCTCTGTGTAATCCATACCCTCTCCAGTAGTGTTAGTTATATGGTGTTTATAAAAGCCCCTCAGACATTACTGACATGTTCTAATATTATCAGATGAAAAACTAAATTATCAGACCTGCTGTCTCATCTGCTTCTTTTATAAACTTGCAAAAAGTAACAAAACCATTTGAAAGCCACTATTTGTGGATTCTCTGAAAGTTTCCATGGAGTGTGTGACAACTTATTTTTTTATTGATCCTATCATCTAATCTCACAGCTGAAACAAGCATCCTTAATAATCTGTGCACAGGAAGCTTACCGATGCTGTAGTAAAACAAAAGGCATAATAATTTATTATTAATAAAACCTTGTTGCAGCACTAAAGCAGAAAAATGCGATTTTGCTATAAATATGTAAATTATTATTTACATATGACTTGTTTTAGAGCCCTTTTATTGGCAGAATCTGATATTAATTTAGTTCTTACAAAAAATGGGTCCCAACGTGGTTTGTGTGGCGTTGCCATAGTGTGACGTCATAGGCACAGATCCCCTGTCCTCTTTTTTGGAAATGGAAATATGGTCACCCTACATTAAACAAACTGTCCACCCGGGCTTTTGCGCTGCACAGAGATGCTTCGCTGCCTATGACTTTGAACGTCAGTTGAGTCAGTCTCATGCAGACCGACCAATGAAGAGAGGGCCTCAAGTTAAGACCCTCTCCTCATTGGTCAGTCCACGAGGTGGGTCAAAGGTTACCCTGAGCGGGTTATGTGATGTCAGGCATTCAAGTACTGAGTATATATATTTACTGCATATTACAGTAAAATATTCTGTATGTGACCATATTATGGTGATCTTTGGGTCATGATGATAGGGCCCTTTAACATTGTTGCCCAGGGTCCTGCTAGGAAGGGCAACCCCAAGAACCCCCACTCGACGCTGCAGACCATAAAAAGCCCTTCCAGTTACCCCAACGTCCCATGAGGCCTGCCACAGGTCGTATCCCAACCCCACCTCCATGTCTACCTCACATCTTGACAGTGCCCCCTTAGCCACAGTATCGGCCCTCTCATTACCCTCCACCCCCACATGAGCAGGAACCCACACAAAACAAATCTCACACCCCAGTGCAACCACCTCGTGCATTATCATCCTGATCCCAACCAGCAAATCAGGCTGAGACCTGGAATATTCTCCCACCAGTGCCTCAAGAACGGCAGCAAAATCAGAGCAAACTACAGACCTTGACGGTCAATGCTCCGCCACCCACTGCAAGGCCCACAAAATTGCCACCAACTCCACCGCAAAAACGGAGCAACAGTCTGTAATGCGATGACCCATGCTAAACCCCAAAAGAGAGACTCCCAACCCCACTGCCACTCCACCACTCTCAGGGTCCTTGGAGCCATCAGTATAGAGGTGCAAAGACAAACCCCACGCTACCCCCTTAAAATCCATAAAAGCCCCTGCCTCCCTGCCACCCCTTCCTTGAGTCATAAAAGAAAAGTCCACTTCAGGGACCGGCTGTAGCCAAGGCGAAACCTCAGGCCAAACTAAATGGGAGCAAACAGACCATTCGAAGAAGCCCTGCCCCACCGCCTGTTTCCTCAGCCGTTCAGGAAAACCACCCCCAGCCACTCGCCCCCCCTTTTTCAATTTCCCAGTGACTGACCAACAACTCAGAAGCTATCTGTACCCATACCCTTAACCTTCAACAGATAGCAAAGCCCCAGTTTAGTGCGAAGGAACTTCAACGGCTTCTCACCCACCTCAACGAGGAGGGCAGCCACAGGGGTAAACCGAAATGCCCCACTACACATCCACAAGGCAGCTGCCTGCAGCACATCAAGCAGCTTCAGGGTATAGTAGGTGCCGCCGATCCATACAAAAAACACTCATAGTCCAAGGTTGATTTAATCATGCCCCAATACACCTGTAGCAAAGTGTCCCTGGATGCCCCCAATCAGTACCAGCCAGACAATGCAAGACATTCAGCACACGACAACATCTGGCTACCAAACAGCGCACATGCTTCCCCCATGTGTGCTTGTCATCCAACCACAGGCCCAAATACCTAAAGGATGACATCTGCTCCAACATTTGTCCGCCTAACAACAAACCCTCACAAGGTACCTTCCTCTTAAAACCAAAAACCAGAAATTAGGTCTTGAACGAGGACAACCGAAATCCCCACCTCCTAGCCCAGGCCACCACACCATCCAACCCCTCCTGAACCTTGTGAAAAACAAAACGAAGGTTCCGACCACGCTTCCAGAAAGCGCCATCATCGGCAAACAGAGACCTACCGAAGCCTCCACCCAGGGAGACGAACATCCCATTAACCAAGACATTAAATATTACAGGGCTAATGACACTGCCTTGCGGTACTCCGTTGTCCACCCCAACTGACTTAGAAAGTGTGGAACCCACCCTCCCCTGGATTGTCCTACCCCTTAAAAAGCCTCCTATCTAACGCAATATACTCCCACGCTCCCCAGCATCGACTATATATACATATATAGTTGGACAAATATGAAGTATGCATATATATATATATATATATATATATATATATATATATATATATATTTATTTATTTATTTATTTATTTATTTATATATGCATACTTCATATTTGTCCAACTATATATGTATATATAGTTGGACAAATGTGAAGTTTTAAAGGGAACAGGGTATAGTAATTGAAAGACATGTAGAGCATTTTACTCAGGGTAAGCAACAACACTAAGTAAACAAATACTGATTTGTTTTCTCCTTTTTTTCTCGCAACAAGGAACTGTCTGCACAGGCCCCGCCTTTCATGACGACAACACGAGGAGGAACCGGGAGATTGCACAGCACCATAAAAGGAAAATACTCTCGCATGCGCAGTAGCGTGAGTTTTGTTTGAAGTGCTGGAACTGCCCTACAAGCTGCAAAGTCGCCAGTCATTTAATTTAAGCTGCACATTTGATCCGGTTCTTCTCTGGGATTTGATTCATGTAGAACAATGTTAGGTCATCATTACCAGAACGTCGATAAGACGCAGCAACTAGTCAGCTACGTGGAGGATTACCTGGAATGTGTGGAGTCGCTGCCTCTGGACATACAAAGAAACGTTTCTGTGCTCCGAGAAATTGATGCTAAGTATCAAGGTATGGTGTTACCTTGTTTTATTAGAGCTGTGTGTGTGTGTGTGTGTGTGTGTGTGTGTGTGTGTGTGTGTGTGTGTGTGTGTGTGTGTGTGTGTGTGTGTGTGTGTGTGTGTGTGTGTGTGTGTTCTGGTGAAATGGAGTAAGCGCAAACCGTGTGTTCCATTTTGAAAGGTGCTACTAGTTTGTGTCCCTTCTTGATAAACACTGATGTTATTGTGTGTGTGTGTGTGTGTGTGTGTGTGTGTGTGTGTGTGTGTGTGTGTTGCATAGATGATTTAAACTACATCAGTTACGCCCTTAACCCAGACTCAGTGACATAGTTACACCATTGAAGCGTCTTTATTCGTGTCTACATGATTACATGTGCAGGCTAATGAGTGAAAACGCTTCTTTTAGCAGCTACAGCGTTAGAGAAGGACGAGCGTAAAGCTGCTGGTTCACACCGCAGCGGAGCGTCGCTGTTCCGGTGGGGCCAGCTTGCTGCATGCAGCCCAGAAACTAAACTCCAGCATAAACGGAGTTAAACGTTGCTTTGGTGTCCAAACTAGTAATGCACAAGGTGCAGCAGCTGTACTTAAGGTCCGTGTATTTCAGCGTGGACCTCGGCTATGGGGAATGCTTCTTCTCTGACGTAAGGGGTGATGGGAGTGTCTGTCCTGGTTCGTTAGGCTCACATGTTGTTAAAATGAACTGGTCTGGTTAGGCTGCTAGAAAACCTCTCCCTCTTGTTGCTGCGAGCCTCGTTGTTGTTGACCATAATGTTACTCAGAGCTCTAGACATTAGACAAGAGAGCCCACACCAGATAATAGGAGCTGCCTTTACAGATGAGTCCTCTACTATGGCCAGCCTAAGTCACGCCCACCTACTTCCGGTCCATGGGCACCCTACTGTCAGAAAATTAATCGGAGTCTAGGAGCCATATATTTTCTGATCCAGTTGTAGATGTGCCATAGATTAAACACGAGATGTTTGTGAATTTTAAAGACCAGACAGAGGGTTGAGCTTCTTGGGAACATAAATCAGTGTTTCTCAACCCTGGTCGCTCACCACCCCCCTTCCTGCATGTTTTCTATGTTGCCGTTTCCAACAACGTTGTTTCTCTGCTGCAACACAGCGGACTTAAATGAATGAGTGATTAACAGGCTTCTGCAACACCTGATGTCCTCCTTAGGAGGCAATGCAAATATGTGAACCAGGTGTGCTGTAGCAGAGACATGGAAAACAAGCAGAACATGGGGGGGGGGGGGGGGTGCACTGAGGATTAGGGTAGAGAAACCCTTCTAGATTGAATAATTTAACTTGGACTGTGGCGCTAATGTGAGGAATCTTGGTGTGCTGTACAGGACCTGTGGGACTGCCTTCTTCCTTTAATGTATTAAAGTTGTTGCTGAGAGACAAATGACATTGAGTTTATGAAGAACTTTTTTGGAAACGGTCCGATAAATGATGTCCCCGTAACCTAAGATTGAAAGGATTGTCATGTTAGCTTTGCTTTGCAGAAGGAGTAAAGGATGACCTGTTGGGGTGTAGAAACCCAATTCTTGACTTGACTTTAAAAAGTAATGAGTTCATGTGAATGTCAGATGACAGTGTGCTGTCAAGCCAGATACCCAGATACTTATTCAAATAAAGTCAATTCAAAAATACTTTATTAATCCCAGGGGGAAATTCAACTGTTTCAGTACAGACAATTCCAAGATCAGACATACATACATAGACGCATGACAAGAATTGGTGACTGTGGTTATTCGCAACACGAGTTGTGTTACCGTTATAGATCAAGAGGGTTTATATGAGGATAGTCGGGGGAGGGGAAAAAAGGCACTTCAGAGTTAAGCCTGATTCATGCTTCTCCGTCTGCGTCAGTGCGGAGACACGCAACGCCATTATCCGTCCTTGCGTAGGGCTCCGGCAGGCACGCAAGTACATACGGAGTCGAGCCCACTTTTTTAAACATCCGTCGAACGAGACGGATTACGCAAGCTTGTGATTGGTCAGGATGCCACTATTGTTCACAGCACCGCCATTGCAAAGAGAGCCGAGGATAACTAGCGGCAGACACGGAGCAGCTTGAAGAATACCATGCGAAAAAAACTCTAAAAACATGAATGTTTCATTCTCCCGTGACTGGATGAGTGAGAAGATGCGCAGCAAGCATTTTATTTATGGACAGAAATGATAGGAAACGTGGGTTTAGAGGTGGGGAGTGCATGAAGAGGTGGGAGAATGAGAGACAAATATGTCCGTGTTAAAAGTCTCTTATATACACAAAAAACGCAATATAAACACACTATCTTGGACCGATACATGACAGGATACCACAGAACAGCGCTACGCCCTCTGGTGTCCTGCCGGGGAATTGCTTTGCAACGCTCTCCAGGAGACGGAGAAGTATGAGAGCAAAACGCTTCCGTCAATCCGTGCGTGTCTGTCCCTTGCGGAGCTGACGGAGAAGCATAAACCAGGCTTTACCCCCGACAGAGAGGATAGCTTTGCTATGCAAAAAAACACCTCAGACAGATATGCACAGACTTCAAACGATACACAACATAAGTGTCCACTAGGTGGGGAGGTAGGGTTGGGACTCTCCTCACTTCAGAGCGTGCAGCCGCAAGAGCAGCACTCATCACCTCCGTTTGGACAGGGGAGGGAGAGAATGGGTTAGAGAGCACATTGGATCCTAGATACGGTTCCACGGCCTTCACCGGTCACAGTCCCGCCCAGGCTGGGATAGGGAGTAAGAGTTTCCATAGCGACAGCAGCATTCCACATTTCTTCTAAGGGGAGTTTCACTTCAGCCTCACAGGCTTCAAGGGCTTCAAGATTCAGATAACAAGAATTGTTTTGGGTACAGGCAGAGATATTTTCCTCTCTGCCTTAGTGTTCTGTCAGTCTACAACCCCTCTAGATCCAATAATGGCATTATCAAACTGTTCCAATCCATGCTGATCTGTCAAATATCTCCTTGATCGAATCAACCTTCTGTGCCAGAGTCTGAAGCTTACCAGCCAAAGTTCCAAGCTTACGACTCATCTCGACAATCATATGAGTCTGTGAGTTTACAGCACGATGCATTCCATCCCTGAGCTCCGGGATTAAGCCAATATTCCTCGAAAGCTTATTAATTTTCCGGTACACCAGGTAACCGCTCAGGCCAAACAGCAAGAATCCTGACACCAAAACGACAAATTTCCAAACATCTTCAGAATCCTCTACCGACAGTTGAGAGAGGCAGATCAAGTTCCACTGTTTCCAGGAGTCCATGATATACCCAGCTGGCTCTGTCCCAGGAGCCCCTTCTCCCGTTCTCATCATTGAAGAGATTTTGTCAATCACGTTGAGAGACCAACTGACCAGATCCATGTTTAATAATTTCCAGTTTCCAGAAAAAATGCAGAGAAGTGCAGTGCATAGGCAGACAGGACAGAGAACCTTGGGAGGAGCAGGGAGGGAGAGGAGAAAAAAGCGTCTGTACTCCTAGAGCCGGAAGAAGAATAGGAACTGACAAGCTGTGGTTCTGTATCATCCAGGGAAACAACACTAGGGTGGAAAGTTGATTGTGGTAAGTTACGGTTGAAGATCATGAACTTCGTTTTACTTGTGTTTAAATGAAGATGAAGGCTGGAGAAGGCACGTTGAAGATAATTAAGGTTGTGCTGCAAGAAGGACAAAGCTGCATTCAAGGAAGAACTGCATGCATATAAAATTGTGTCGTCTGCATATAAATTTATATGAGAACTGTCAACAGCATAAACAATGTTATTAATATAGATTCTGAATAAAGCTGGGCCCAGTATCGACCCTTGAGGAATGCCCATAGATGAAGGTAGAGGAGCATATTGGTAACCCTCAGTTCTCACTCGCGTACGTTCTAAGATATAACTTCTGAACCATGCCACTGATGCCTGAGAAAGTCCTGTACGTTTGAGCCTGCTAAGTAAGATGTTTTGGTCTACAGAGTCAAAGGCTTTAGCCAAGTCAACAAACACAGCCACTAGGCTTGGGCGGTTTTACGGTATTACCGTATACAGCCGGTGTTATAAATTAGCAACGGTGTCTTTTCCAATACTGTCATGAAAAAACAGTGTAGGTAGAGACAAGGATTTAAAAAATGAAAATAAAAAAAAAGAGAAATAAATGTCATTTGATGTATAAAACAGAAGCGTGGCTGAATTTTCAGTTTTACTTAAAGAGCAAGTCACTCCAAATCAACATTTTTTTGCTGATAAACTATATAAATGAGTGTCTGATCGTGCTGTTGGCAAATGTAGTCAATAATTTGGCATTTTAGTTCTTCTTAGTTAAAATTTAAATATTCTGCCTAAAACGGTCAGTGTTGTGCCGTTGTCAGGTAAAAACTCTGCACAGCATTTGCATTTAAATCTGCCATCGCTATTGGCTAAGAGGTACACTGTGATGTTAGATGGTACATTATGATGTCACAATGTCGTGAGTGTGTGTATTTGTTAGGGGCTCCGCCCTCTTGGTCTGCTAGGCAACAGCATTTGTTGCATTTTTCAAACAGGAAGTGGGAGTTGAGTAGGAATCTGGCAGGGGGTGACTTGCTCTTTAAATAGATGTTCCATAAGTTTATGAACATGATGTCATCACGTGACAGTGTCAAGATGGCGCCCTGAGAGAAAAATGGCAGCTTGCGCACCAGCTGAAAAAGAACACAACTTCTGTAGTTTGGGAGCATTTCTGGTTTGAAGCGAAGATAAAAAGGGAGACCGGTAAAGACTGATGTGGTCATTTGTAAACAAAGATGACCGCAAAAGACTCAACTCCCCGCCAGTGTCGTGCCAATGTAGTTATCCCCGCCAGAGTTTGTTTCCCCTGCGTTGGGAGTGAGTACAGGTGCTATGTCAAATTCAGTTAGTTCGAGATCTGTTTCAGCAACAACCAGCCAAATAATGCGTGTCCTAACCCAAACCATAACCCTATAACAAACATAAAATTCATCCCACGCAGAGTACTTTCATGAATTATAATTGTGCAAAGCCATTCACATTTGGTTATGGAGTGGTTATGTTTAGAGTAGGTGTCAGGGTGAGGGTTATTTTTTTGTGAGAGGGGGAACTCAAATAGACAACACCGGTGCCCAACGCAGGAAAAACAAATTTTGGTGGGGGCAACTACATTGGCACGACACCAGTAAACATGCTGGAGTTTCAGGAGAAAAATCTTTTTATAAGCTGCTTTTTAAAAATGAGTTAATATTATGTGTGTTATTGTTTTAGTAATAGTGTTTGTTATTCCGTTTCTGAACGGTTTGATTGCATTTGGAAAATGTGGGATTTGTTGGTATTTTCCGTAGTCTGGAAAGTCTGCCAGAACTTTTTGGGGTCAGAACTACTCATCAGAAACGGAGGATTGCCAGTCGCCGATATTGTTGGATGTCTTTGCTCTTTGCCAAGATTGAGATGAATCATTTCTGAAAGTTCAGTGTTGATCTAGGGACTGAAACGATAATTAACTAAAGTAAAAAGGCCTATAAAAGCCTCCACTTTATCCAGAATGCTGCTGCCAGAGTTCTGATAAAGGTTAAATGGAGAGCTGTACTATCAGCTAAATAAACAGATGGTAATGGGAGCCTACTTTTCATACAGAACTTCCCTTGTTCTTGTCGTGAAACACCAGCAAAAGATGCACATGACTTTAGCCTAGCACTCTCTCCGGCTGGAGAGCCCTACTAGACTTTGGAAGGGGTAGATGTGCACAAGATACTGGACCTGAGGTGGGCCTTGTCTGCTATCGATCTGATTGGGTGTTTTAGACTTTTTAAGATCCAGTCTAAGTCTGTTTGTGGGCTTGAACATGATTGGGTCAGGCAGTGCCACTGGAATGTGTAAAATGTAAAATACTCTGGTGCTGCCACTTGGGTCCAGGCCTAAATGATGAACCTTTCAGCTGTACGGAATAGAATCCCACTGTGGGGAAATTCACTTGTTACAGCAGCACCAACACTTAAGAGAATAACAACTAAAGTACATGCATATACACATAGGTAGTAAGCTAGTATTGTAACCTTCAGCCAGTAAAAACCACAAATAAAAAATGAAGAACTTGGGTTTCAGAACAATGCAGCATACTGTAAGAGACACAGACCTACTATGTAAATCTGGTATTGAACGAGTATTGAACGCATACTGAGTATTGCATTGGTGTTATTGTGTACCAGGATAAGGCCAGTACAGCTTAAACTGAGGAGGTCTACACTCTTACTGCAGAGGGGATGAATGACCTACGGTAGCTTTCTGTTTTACATCTGGGATGACTCTCTCTGCCTCTGAAGGAGCTGTCCATGGTCTCCACAGTGGAATGCAGTGGGTGGGAGGGAATTTTGAAGATGGAGGTCGTCTTCACCAGCATCCTCCTTTCACACATCTCCTCCTCAACTGAATCCAGTGGGCATTCCAGAACCGAGCTAGCTTTAATTAGCTTGTTCAGTCTCTTGCTGTCTCAGTCAGAGCTGCCTGCACCCCAAAAGCCCACAGCAGAGCAGATAACAGAGCCAACAACGGAGTGATAAAAGGACTTTAGCAGCAGAATTAACTCAGAAGGACCTCAGCCTCCTCAGGAGGTGGAGGCGGCTTTGGCCCTTCTTATACAGCATCTGTGTTGTTGGACCAGTTCAGTTTGCTGTGGAGGTGAACACTCGGGTACTTAAAGGTATCCACCACCTCAATGTCTGCTCCCTGGATGTTTACTGGTGAGTGAGGAAGAGTGTTTCTCTTGAAGTCAATCACCATTTCCTTTGTCTTACTGGGGTTCAAGCGAACGTGGTTACGCTCACACCAGTCAACAAAGTCCATGATGACTGACCTGTACTCCAGGTCATTCCCCTCAGACACACCGCCGACAATGGCCGAGTCATCAGAGAACCTCTGGAGGTGGCAGCTGCTGGTGTTGTAGGTGAAGAGAAAAGGAGAGCTTACTGTACCCTGTGGAGCTCCGGTACTGCACACAACCACCTCAGGCGTACGGTTGTGCAGCCTTAAGGTTGGTTTATGCTTGACGCGTCCGCGAGGTCCGCACGGCTCCGTGCGGAAAAGTTGCGTCATTTTGCGTCATTTTAACAACCACGCCCCTCCACCGCGCCTCCGCACGGCCCAGAATTTCCGCAACGCGCACCTTGGAAAATTTCTAACCACACGGACGGTCGGACGCGGAAAAACATGGCGGACCGGCAAGAACTAGTATGGCAGAGGTTCGTAAATACAGACATTTGTATGATTCAGCTCTCAGAGATCACCGTGATCAACATGTTGTTAATAATTCTTAGAGAGAAATAGCTCGCACTGTCGGAAAAGACGAGAACGCTGTTAAAAATGCTGGAATGCCATGTTGTAAACAACAGTAACTTTTACTTCCACTATGGTGTAGCGTTGGATGCATGCCGTAGAGCTCCATGCTGCCCCCTACAGTTTGGGAGAATATTGGCTCACCGCAGAGACGAGCCGCATGAACCATAAACGCTGCGAGTTGTGAAGCGCGTTCCATCCGCGAGCCGCATCACCAAGCGGAAAGTAAATGAGTCAAGCATAAACCAACCTTTACGTACCTTTTGGTGTGGTAGTTGATGGTCTTTGCAGTCATGGGGTGAAAAACAATGAAAACAAGCAGTTGTGAGGAAATGTCCAAAATGTTTAAAAAATGAAAACCATGAACTTTTCTTGCACATATGGGCTGAGAATTTTAAAATCCCAAAAGTTTGTGCAACAAATGAGCGGTGTTCCCTGTCTGTTGCAGAGGTGCTGAAAGAGGTGGACGAAGTGTTTGAGAAGTATAAAGATGAACAAGATGCAGCTCAAAGAAAGCGGCTGGAGATCCAGCTGCAGAGAGCCCTCATCATCAGCCAGGAGTTGGGCGATGAGAAGATCCACGTGGTGACCCAAATGACAGAACTGGTGGAAAACCGTTCCCGTCAAATGGACTCCCACTCTCTCTGCCTCCAGGAGCCCAGTGAAGCTGAGCGACTCAACATGGAGCGGCGCTCCAGCATCCAGGAGTCCCCAGCTACTGAGCGCACCTCTACTCGTCGCCCTCGCCGCCAGCGAAACAGTGAGAGTCGCGACTCCACCCATCCATCTGCCAATGGGTCACTGGTGGATGACCCTGTGGATGATCTGTCTCTGCCTCCATCTCGAGAAAAGAAGTCAAAGTCTTCGAAGAAGAAGAAGCGCAAGGCTAAACAGGAGCGAGACACCTCTCCTGTTGACTTTCCCATTGACCCCAACGAGCCCACCTACTGTCTGTGTGAGCAGGTGTCCTATGGGGAGATGATTGGCTGTGACAATGACCAGTGCCCCATCGAGTGGTTCCACTTCTCCTGTGTGGGACTCACCTACAAACCCAAGGGAAAGTGGTACTGTCCCAAATGTAGAGGAGACAATGAAAAGACGATGGACAAAAGTTTGGACAAGAACAAAAAAGACCGCCGGTCCAGGTAGTGACTTTAAAAACTTTATTCAGCTTGAAGGTTGGGACCGTCAGGTGCTGTAAAGAAAAGTTCTCCTGTCGATCTAAAAGTGAATGTTGCGTTACGGACCTTAACCACGATCCAGGACCAAGGCATTGGTGTTTCTGTGGTCCAGGAGGAGCCGCTGGCCACCTGATGCTCTTGGGGACTTCTTCTTACTAATGCTCCAAACATTTTGTTTTGTCTTAACTTGCAGGAGTCTCAATAACTTGAATGAGCGTTTGAAGGTTTGTACTCGTCACGAGGAGTAACGGACTCCTATTTAATTTAGAAGATGAGGTGTGATCATTTAGTTTTCACTGTAGCAACACTTTTTATATTCATTAAATCAGTCAGTTCCCTTTGTTCTTGTTCGGTGTGAAGTGGTTACACTTTTCAGCAGCAGTGTACAGATCTAATGCCTAAAAATGGCCTTTCGGTTTCATTTGCACCAAACCCACTTTAGAGCGTTCCTGGAAGTTAGCTTAAAGAGCAAATTGCAGGTTAGAGACTCCCATGAACCAATGTTTAGAGAAACATAATAGAAACCCGTTTTAAACATTTTTTTTACACAATCATAAATTATTTAGGCTTTTAGAGTCTTTTTTGTGAGTTTTTTTTGTTGTTGGCCAAACTAAGTGACGTCATCTGAGGGAGTCCTGTTGGCTTAATCCAGTGAAAAATATAGATTCTAATGCCGGCGCTGACGCAGAGGAAACTTTAAATGTCGTTGTCTTCCTCCGCTTATCCGGGTCCGGGTCGCGGGGGCAGCATCCCAACTAGGGAGCTCCAGACCATCCTCTCCCCGGCCACCTCCACCAGCTCCTCCAGCAGGACCCCAAGGCGTTCCCGGAGCAGATTGGAGATGTAACCTCTCCAACGTGTCCCTCGACCCGGGGCCTCCTGCCGGCAGGACATGCCGAAACACCTCCCCAGGGAGGCATCCAGGAGGTATCCTGACCAGATGCCCAAACCACCTCAGCTGACTCCTCTCGATCCGGAGGAGCAGCGGTTCTTCTCCGAGTCCCTCCCGAATGTCCGAGCTCCTCACCCTATCTCTAAGGCTGAGCCCGGCCACCCTACGGAGGAAACTCATTTCGGCCGCTTGTATCCGCGATCTCGTTCTTTCGGTCATTACCCAAAGCTCATGACCATAGGTGAGGATTGGGACGTAGATCGACCGGTAAATCGAGAGCCTGGCTTTTCAGCTGCACAAAATGCCCTCAGGCACGGAGATAGTGGCGTTGTTTCTGTTATCTGGAAACCCGGGGACTCGATGTCCAGACAGGCTGGAGTTGGTACAGCGTTCACAAACTATAGTTTATCAACATGAACACAATCCAACACTAGTAAACACACACACACTGGCTGGATAACATGACCTCTATCTGCTGAGGCAGCGCCGTGCTTCTAACTCCCTTTGGTTACGTCAGAGGTTCACATTTAGAAACAAGCATTGCTGAGAAAGGCCACTTTCTACTAGAAAAACTGCTGTTATGTATTTTAAAACCAAATATCCACAATAAGCTTTTTAAACAGTATTTTTGGACAGCATTTTATATGAATTAGAAAAAAATTTAACCTGCAATTTGCTCTTAACGTGCAACGGTGAATGATCTCTGTACGCGCTGGAGCATTCACATCAACACTGGTCTCACTGCACAATACAGACAATCCTCAACAGTTCACACCTCGACTCCCCCGGTGTAATCTTCACTTGTTTAAGAAACAGAAAATGTATGAACAGTTTTTGCCCATCGGCCATGTGCGAGCACCACGGTCCCACATCGGCCGTGTGCTAGCACCACGGTCCCACATCGGCCGTGTGCTAGCACCACGGTCCCACATCAGCCATGTGCGAGCACCACGGTCCCACATCGGCCGTGTGCGAGCGCCACGGTCCCACATCGGCCGTGTGCGAGCGCCACGGTCCCACATCGGCCGTGTGCGAGCGCCACGGTCCCACATCGGCCGTGTGCGAGCGCCACGGTCCCACATCGGCCGTGTGCGATCACCACGGTCCCACATCGGCCTTGTGCGAGCACCACGGTCCCACATCGGCCGTGTGCGAGCGCCACGGTCCCACATCGGCCGTGTGCGAGCGCCACGGTCCCACATCGGCCGTGTGCGAGCGCCACGGTCCCACATCGGCCGTGTGCGAGCACCACGGTCCCACATCGGCCATATGAGAGCACCACGGTCCCACATTGGCCATGTGCTAGCACCACGGTCCCACATCGGCCATGAGCGAGCACCACGGTCCCACATCGGCCGTGTGCTAGCACCACGGTCCCACATCGGCCGTGTGCTAGCACCACGGTCCCACATCGGCCGTGTGCTAGCACCACGGTCCCACATCGGCCGTGTGCGAGCACCACGGTCCCACATCGGCCTTGTGCTAGCACCACGGTCCCACATCGGCCATGAGCGAGCACCACGGTCCCACATCGGCCGTGTGCTAGCACCACGGTCCCACATCGGCCGTGTGCTAGCGCCACGGTCCCACATCGGCCGTGTGCTAGCGCCACGGTCCCACATCGGCCGTGTGCGAGCGCCACGGTCCCACATCGGCCGTGTGCGAGCGCCACGGTCCCACATCGGCCGTGTGCGAGCGCCACGGTCCCACATCGGCCGTGTGCGAGCGCCACGGTCCCACATCGGCCGTGTGCGAGCGCCACGGTCCCACATCGGCCGTGTGCGAGCGCCACGGTCCCACATCGGCCATATGAGAGCACCACGGTCCCACATCGGCCATGAGCGAGCACCACGGTCCCACATTGGCCATGTGCTAGCACCACGGTCCCACATCGGCCATGAGCGAGCACCACGGTCCCACATCGGCCGTGTGCTAGCGCCACGGTCCCACATCGGCCATGTGCTAGCGCCACGGTCCCACATCGGCCGTGTGCTAGCGCCACGGTCCCACATCGGCCGTGTGCTAGCGCCACGGTCCCACATCGGCCGTGTGCGAGCACCACGGTCCCACATCGGCCATATGAGAGCACCACGGTCCCACATCGGCCATGTGCTAGCACCACGGTCCCACATCGGCCGTGTGCTAGCGCCACGGTCCCACATCGGCCGTGTGCTAGCACCACGGTCCCACATCGGCCATGTGCTAGCACCACGGTCCCACATCGGCCATATGAGAGCACCACGGTCCCACATCGGCCATGTGCTAGCACCACGGTCCCACATCGGCCATGTGCTAGCACCACGGTCCCACATCGGCCATATGAGAGCACCACGGTCCCACATCGGCCATGTGCTAGCACCACGGTCCCACATCGGCCGTGTGCTAGCGCCACGGTCCCACATCGGCCATGTGCTAGCACCACGGTCCCACATCGGCCATGTGCTAGCACCACGGTCCCACATCGGCCTTGTGCTAGCACCACGGTCCCACATCGGCCATGTGCTAGCATGGTTCTTGCATTTCTCCAGGCTCACCTGTTAGGTGTTTTGGGATTTATCATTTTCTACGTGTGACCCATCAGATGATTCTTCCTCAGTAGACTTCAATCTATTTTAGGACACTGACCAGATTGAAAGTGTGAAAGGAAAACCATCTTCACATTAAACAGAAAGACCGTTTGTACACTAATGGGCCATTCCCACCTGTACCGGGTCGGCCCGGGCCGGGTAGCCCCAGTCGGCCCCAGCCTGGCCCGGTTGATTCCACACATCCTTGTCTTAAGCCCATGTGGGCTGATTCTACCCACCAATCAGAGGCTTGCTCTAATGGAAGGTGTGAATTTGCTGTCAGCAGTGGGTGTGTTGGCCCTGGTCGGCCTGAAGCAGACCCCCTCGAGAAGAGGGCTGAGAATGAGCCTTGGTTGGCCCGGAAAAATTCCAGGACACCCAGATATGTAAACAACCTACGCTACCCGGCCGGGACGACCCGGTACAGATGGGAATGGCCCATAATGCTTAGGGTTGCAGGGGCAGGTAACGTTCCAGAAGCCAACAGGTAAAACGCACCGTCCTTTAACTTGGTGTGTGTACTTTGTACTACATTCTGGGGACTGTTTACAGGTTTAACCTGCAGCATGGGGACATCTGGGTGGTCCCCACAATGGGAAAACCCCTAAAGCTTGGTTTGAGGTATGGTGTGACGTAACTTTTAGTCAGGCTTAGGTATAGATTGATATTGCTTACGGTTTGACATAACTCAACCACTAAAATGAATGGAAGTCAATGACAAGACCCCACATGTTAGAGAGAGCTCTAAATGTAGTACTTTTACCCTTATCTACCTGTAAGGACACATTTTTAATCACCAGACTTAATACAGCTTTATCTCTTTACATGCAATAAACGACACTGGACAAAGCAGCTGATATTTTATTATATAAACATTTTCAAATGTATAGTTTAAAGAGAAGAGTTAACATAAAACAATCTATTTTTCTGTGGTAACAAGTGTTTGCTTTGATAAAGTCACATGTACTTTAAAATAACAGAGTCGTGAGCCAACAGCAACAGCTCCTCAGTGACAACATGGCAGTGACGGCAGGGACGTCCGGGATCAACTCCACCCAGGTGCGGGACACAGAGGTGGATCTGAGCTCCAACGCCACTAACACATGACCGTAATGGTGTTACCCACTAGCTGCGGGTACGTAGCCACAGCTACCCAGCCTGCTCTGGTGTAAACACGTGGCTCTGGATGCATGCGAAGGCATCTGTGGGGGGGGGGGGGGGGGGGGGGGGCTTCACCATGCTCTGGTCTAGTCTTCATCCTTTCCTCCTGTCTGACTTAGCTAGAGTAGACACACAGAAAACACCAAGCGCAGGAAGTGTGCTCAGACCGCAGGAGCGACAGGAAACAAACGATGATCTAACTGCTTTAGACTTACATGCTGGAGTCGGGTCCGGAGCAGGAGTCATGTGGGACACAAAGAAAAGGAAAAGTGAGCAACCCGTCAGAGAGAATCTATTCCACCATCTTGTGGAGAAAGGTGAGACTGCAGCTACCTTGATCACATCCACCCAGTTCCAGCCTCTGGGCAGTTCTCCTTTATGGTCTGAAATCATGACAGTTATGTTAGACGACGACTGATCAAAGCAGAAGCATAAAACCAACCAACAGGTCAGCAGTCCGAGTGTGCTCTGGCCCCGAGGCAAATAAAAGCTATTCTGCTTTGGGGAGGGGAGGTTTGTAGGAACGGAGGCAGAAAAAGTAGCCTCGTTGCTCATGAAAGAAAACGGATTTGTTTTTGAGTTCTGACGCGGTTGAAGGTTACTGGACCTAGAGGTGTCCTTGCTGCACCCTGGGGACAAAAGCCACACGTCCTGCCGGACACGTGGCTTTCAGGAGCTTCTTCTGCAAACAAGACATCAGACTAAACGACCTCAGCAGGGGCGTGTCCAGGGAGTGGCTTGGGGTGGCACATGCCACCCTTGAAATCTGATTGGCCACCCAAGGTGCCACCACACAAATTTACCTTTAAAAAGGCTTTTCATTGTCCACAAAAGGCTTGAGGGTAAAACAATAAAGCATAACCACTGGTGCCACCCATGCACAAAGTTGTGCCTCACCTGGGCCACCCCATTTTAATAGATCTAGACACGCCACTGGACCTCAGATGAAAAATCTCTAGAAAAGACTCCCGGCATCTGACAACGGGTTTTATTTTATTATTATTATTTTGCATGAACTGTTTCAGCATGAAGTGAAGGTGTATGACCAGACTTGTTTAAGACAAGTCTGAACTAAAGCAGGTGATCATCTACCTGTTCTGTTGACCATCCTTCTCTTCTGAGCTTTGGTCAGCTGCTCCTTCTTCTCCTTCCTCTTGGCTGTGGACGAGGGAGCGGTTAGCTCACTGCTAGCCGTCACCATCTGATGCACGGACAAACATTCACCTGTTATTGTCCACAGAGCTCCTGGCCGAGTTAACTGGAGACTATAACTTGCAACGATAAACGTTTATCCAACTCTGAAAGGTGGAAAATACCAAAAACACACAACAGCCCCAGCAGGACGAAGAGGCCACAAACCAGATGTGGGAACTGGTGAGAATAAGTAGTAGTGCGCTTACCACAGAGGTCACTACGGGCCTGTGGTTCTCCATCAGCACCTCCTGGTGCTCCTTTGCCCACTCAAACAGAGTATACATCATAGCAGTGCCCAGGTTAGCTTCCACCTGCTGCTCCAGCTTCGACAGGATCAGCTCCTTCGTCTCTGCAGAGCTGTTCTCAAACCAGCACAGCGGAGAAGTCAACTCACGCAGAACAATAACGATGAAGCTCAGAAAACACGTTACCTTAGAGCGTCTCAAGACTAAATAAACAGCAAACATTTCATAGTGGATCCTTTTCTTCAGTTTGAGTATTACGTACGACGAGTGGAATCACTTTACGACAACAGGGAGCGTTCTTTACCTGTACACAATAAAGTGCTTGTAGACAAGAGAAAGGGGATGCCAGCCAACAGACTAGCCAGAAGACCTTCCAGTCACACAAAAACTGAGCAGTTGTGATAGCGATGACTTCAGCCGTACATTAGGTGAGTCCAGCTTTAAGAGCTTTCAGTGACTACGAATTTTAAAATACAGTTAATGCAATCTACAATGTTTTCTAAACAGACGTGCGAATGCAAGACAAGCCGAAACTCCAGAAACCGCTCTGCTCACCGGAGGAAGTAACTGGTCTGTTCTTGCCGTTTGCCCGGTGCAGTAACAGCTTGTGGAGTGTTATCTGTCATGGCTGAACTAAACAGACTCAGGCCCTGTCCACACGTAGCCGGGGATCTGCCAAAACGTAGATATTTTTCTACGTTTTGGCCTGTCGTCCACACGAAAACTGAGTTTTTTCACACGAAAACGGATCTTTTTAAAAACTCCGGCCAAAGTGAAGATCTGCGTTTTCTCCGTTTTGGGTGTCTGCGTGTGGACGGACAAAACCGGAGTTTTAAGGTCCGCAACGTCACTTTCCGCGACAAAAAAGTGCTGACATCACGTGTGCGACCTGTGTTTACACTAGCCGACAGCATGGATGCCCTCAGAGCTGCGCTCTGTCACTACCCGATCCATCAATTTTCCAAGCGCTTTCTGCTTGTTTGTTTTTGCAAGCGGAATTACTGCTCCTTGCGGAAGACCACAGACGAAGGACGAGGTTAAGAACGGGGGAAGTACTGCCGCCTACAGGTCTGGCATGTCCTTAACAACGTATTTATCCGGGTACGTGTGGACAGAGTTGTTTTTTTAAACGAGGTGGTGTGGATGCAAGTTTTTGGAGGGGCGGATATTCGTTTTTTAAAAAAAAAACCCGGCTACGTGTGGACTAGGCCTTATGTCTGTGAAGGTTCTCAGTCATCCAGGTCATTGTAGTCTTTGTAAGAAAAGCGTCTGGACTTCTTTGAGTTGCTTGAAGACGTTTCACCTCTTATCCTTAGTATGAGGATTGCTGTATAGTCACTGACACTCGTCAGTGACTTGATGCAATTTGCTGGGTTCCTTATATAGGAAACATTATTTCTGATTGGCTTAATGAACTGACCTGAATTGGAATGTTTATTATGTGAAGTGCCTTGAGACGACTCTTGTCGTGATTTGGCGCTTTATAAATAAACTTGAATTGAATTGAATCCGAGAGGCTTCTTCAGTTCTAAGGTCAATGTATGTAGAAGATCATCAGGGGGTCTTTTGTTCCCTCTTCTGGGGGAAACTCCCACTGGGTTTAAATCTGGGACTCTCCACCATTTGACCTTAGAACTGAAGAAGCCTCTCGGATGAGAGGTGAAACGTCTTCAAGCAACCCAAAGAAGTCCAGACGCTTTTCTTTCAAAGCTCCTTAGACTAAACAGAGTAATAAAACTATCGATTTGACAAACTTACATCCTGTTGTTAAAAAAAGCATCTAGAGAGATCTGTGGGGCCGTCTCTGGGTAGGTCTCTGGCCACGCAATGTCCAGGATGAAGGCTTTAATGTCTTCAAGGTCACCGACCTGTCAAATAAAATGTACGATGAGAAAACTACATTTGTGAAAGCTCTGCAACGAGGTAGCGGCTAGTGGCTGTAGGGTGGTACTTACCCGAAACTGGAAGGAAACTGGACTGATTTCCTTAAAACATTCATCCCCTTCATAAATGGAGCGAAGGGCTTCTAGCTCCATCTGCGATGGTTGCGTCACAGAAATCTGTCAGACTGCTGCTAACAAACAAACTGCAACACTGTGGCGCTCTTGAACCGCCTTTGATCAGAACTAAATCAAAAGCTGCACCACCTAAAATGTTCACATGTAAATGAAGTTCCTATGTTCACATGTAAATGAAGTTCCTATGTGGAACAAGCTGACCGTTTAAGAGCACAGTTAGAATATGTGAACAGTCAAAAACACATTCGGTGCTTTACTTGAATCCGGACCAGATCAGAACAGCTGCGGTTCTAAAACCAAAAGCTATCATCACAACAACGCAGAGAACACACAGTAGACGGAACCAAAACACACGGGAAACTGGAGCAGTTCCGCTGTGGTGTTCAGATACAACAACACAGAACTAAAATGTGTCAACTTCCACAAATCACAATTATTATTTAAAAGATTCTTCTCGTGGTCATTTTGAACTAGCTGCTGGTCAACACGGAAACATCCGAGTCGGCTAACTTCAGCCTGATCTGAGAGACGTAGCTTTCTGTTCGTCTGTTCGCTGTCTGAAGATGTCCACTGCCATGCTAGCTGCTAGCCACGGCTAGTTCCATCCTTTTACCTCCTGGTCTTCGTTAGCAGTCATCTTCTCCCTTCGGCTCCAATCTCAAAGGATCTATGTGAAGAGATGTGGACTGAAAACAAAACAGTTAATCAGCGTCTGTCATTACAAGATAGATAAACCGCCACAACATGTAGCCGGTCCCACCATGACAGTCCGCACATGCGCAGACGGCTCCCTGAGCTTTTTCTGAACAAAGCTTTATTTAATTAAACACAGAAACAACTTGATTCAATTACAAATGCAGTTAAAAACGATTCAGAGGTATTTACACCTCTTATCAAAAACGTACAATTACAAAAACAAGAAATTATTATTTTCATTTCAGTAAAGGCACTTTTCAAGGCAACCATTTCTAAACAGCACTGAATTCAGCTCATTAGTTAGCAGGGCTGCTAACGCAGTGAACACCGCACCTCTACGGAAGCCCCACACACCCACACCAACACTGACCGCTATGGGTGTTGCAGCTGTTTTGACATTTATTTATTTTTTATTTAACATGTATTGAGCAGACTGGAGACGTATGACATGCATAAATCTATTGTTCCTTTTAAAAATTGAAACCCCAGATATCCATAACAACACTCTTATATCCAGAATGAACATCTCTGATATCTGAAAAGTACAAATAACGTCACGTTTCCCATTCACGCGCATTGGGTTTGCAGCCCCTGTCATGGACATTATGATAGTAAAAAAGTCCTTAGTAGAAACTTGTTGATTACAGTTTCAGGGTCTCGTGGATAGGAGGAATGAATCAAGAACATCAATAATGTCAAAACAGACAGCAAGAAGTTACTTGTTTGTGGAAAGATTGTAATTCTGCCCGTCTAAAATTTAAATCGTACTAAATATATTTTATTTATTTAACTATAATTTTTCTTTCCAGAAGGATAAACTGCTTGAGATGTGGCATCTCGTTTTCGAGCAGGTCCTCCTACCATACAACAAGTAAATAATAAGAAGGCAAAGTCGTTAAACCATAACAAACTAAGAGAAATAAAATAATGATAATTATATTAATAATAATGATAATAACACTTGGTGTGGCCCATGTATCTGTAGGCATACTTTTAACGACAAATATAAAATACACATACACATTCATTAACAAATAAAAATTTAACATCATGACTAAATTCAGCTGTCGCTTAAATGACGTCATCACATGATCTCTTCTCGACTCAGCGAGTAGCTGCTACTTACCCCATGCCCAGGTGTATAGTGGTTTTCTTCTTCGCTCATCCTGGAACAAGGATTCTGAGTTCGATAAAATCTTCTCGTTTCCGTGTCTATTTCGACGACGGTAATTTAGTGAAAATGATATTTGTAGTCCCATTAGTCTTTTCACACAAAACCTAAAATAACTTTTTCCGTCATGTGTTGAGAAGTGCTTCCTTGGCATGTGTCTTTAACATTCACAGACATCATTCGTGAAGTCCATGGCACAATCAAACGGGATTAGAAAATTACTGTCGTATGGATTTCCGTAGGACCCTTAGTTTACTTAGAGAGAAGATTTTACTCAAAAGGAGACGTCTGTGTTGGACAACATCAAGCCCACACCAGAATTAACATGAAGTTTCCAGATTTGTTCTGACTGCATGTGTCATGTCTGCGTCTGCCCCTTGCTTCATGTGCCTCCTGGTGTTCTCCATCCCTCTCTAGATTCCCTTTTGTGTCTCATAGCGCCCTCATGTGTCTCCATTTTTTGCAGCTCTCTAGATATCTCTCTCAGGTCCTGTGTCCCTTTAGTCGTCCCCAGTCACCCCTCGGCAGTTTTTACAGTTACAGCTGTTCATTCTATTAGTCTCTTTAGTATGTTTTTTCCCACCGGTCTTTGTAGTTCTCCTTCCCTTTAGAATTTTTGTTAAATGTTGCTTTTCTGTTTTTAGGTTCACTCTTAGGTCATGTTAGTTTCTTCCCTGATTAGTCATTGCTTTCACCTGGTCCTCCCCCCACACACCTGCAGCTCATCTTCCTCCCATTATGCCCCAGTGTATTTAAGCCCTGTCTTGTCTTTGTGTCTTGTCGGTCCATTGTTGCTGTTTTTGGTAATGCTGTCAGTCTCTTGTTCCTAGTCTCTAGTGTTTCTCGTGTCTCAGTTGGATCTCTAGTTTATTTTGGATTTTGGACATGTTTGGACTTTGGCTCCCTGCCCCTGGATTTATTCTTCGTTTCATCCTTCAAAAATAAAGGATTTTACTTTACATCATCTCCTGCCTCTTGTCATCCTGGGCTTCTGCATATTTGGGTCCTAAACATCCCCGAAACGTGACAGCATGAAACATCAACAGCATTACAGTTTCTACGAAGGGTTTGACCTTTCCAGGAAATTTCAACAAAGCACCACAAAAAACTATTCATGAAAAACAAATGGATGAAACGACATGTTGGAGCGCTTAAAATATTTTAATGATTATTCTGTCAAAATTACAGGTGTCACATGGTGTAAAAACGAAAGGAAGTAAAAAAAAAGATGTTTTCCGTGTGACAATGCTGTCATTTGAATCAACATTGGTAAAGGTCGGTAAAACTAGCCGTGCATTTTCTCATTCTTTATTAATGATGTTTGAAATGACTTCATGATGTTCTGAGTTTTTAGATCCGACTGTGGATGCTTGAAGCACACTCTAGACCAGGGGTGGGGAACCCTGGTCCATCAAGGGCCACTATCCAGCATATTTCAGTTTCAACCTGCTTCAACACACCTGAATTCATCCAGCAGGTGATTAACAGGCTTCTGCAGAGCCTGATGAGCTGAATCAGAAGTGTTGGAGCAGAGACATGCAGGATACCGGCCCCCGAGGACCAGGGTTACCCACGCCTGCTCTAGACCAGGGCTATTCAATCCTGGTCCTGGAGGGCCGGTATCCAGCTCGATTTGCTTTTAGATTCAGTGGTTGAATCATCAGTTCAGCAGCTCATCGGGCTCTGCAGAAGCCTGTTAATCACTTGCTGATTGAAATCAGGTGTGTTGAAGCAGAGAGACCACTAAAACGTGCTGGATACCGGTCCCCCAGGCCCAGAAACGAATAGCCCTGGTCTGGACAAACGCTATCAACACATCCTCTCTGAGAAAGCCCTTTTTCTGCTAGCTAACAGCCAGCGGTGGACAATTTCTCCTGTTTAGACCCCTGCTTGGACCCATCTGTCAGTTCAGCAAGGACCTGGACTGTTTGGGCTAGCGTGCTCAGACCCTCCTCCTCCATGATGAGCTGGGCAGAACACATGGACTCCTACAGGGGAGGAAAAATAAACATAGGTTCAGGGTCTTCTCATGGAATCTTTTCAGTGTAGATGGTTAATGTCCAGGGTGCTTGGGGATGCGATGCTACAGTGTACTACTACTAGCCTGGCAAGCCAGACTAAATAAATGTATTATTTAGTCTGGCCACGCTCCATTGACGGCTCTCGGTCGTGGGGCGGGTTCTACCGTTGTCTTTCAAATGATCTCCGCATTCCACTGGACAATGAATGTGACATACTCTTGTTTCACTCTGTTGCATCATCCCACCCACCAGGCATATAGAGTGCCCTGATTAGCCCACAAAGCGGATAAAGCCCTGTGATTTGTTCACTAAGCAGATAGAGCACAATGATTGGCCCACCATTATGGACCAATCAGAGCTCTTTATGCGTTTGAAATCCCTCTAGAGAGTTGTGATTGGCTAGCCAGAGTCCTGGTAGGAGCTGCGGAGGTTTCAGTGGAGCGTGCCTAGACCATTCTTTGCAAAGCAAGAATTTGGTCTAGTTCACTAGGCTACACTACTACTTCATCATTCTGGATAAAGCCAGACTCAAGAGGACTTTCATACTTCCAACAGCGGCTGCTTTAGCTTGAAGAATTGGACAAAATCAAACATTTCTCCATTGTTAATTAGCCAGGACATGCAGACACAGTGCGTCGTCAGCTGTTTTCCAAGGTTTGAGGGTCACTGACTGGTTAGCGAGGGCGAAAAGCCCTTGTTCGGTCATTTTTTCACATCTTTACCCTACAGCTCTGCTCATTTTGCGTCCATCCAGCTGTGGTGTTACGATTTCTCACACAGATGTTTTTTTCTGGTAAAATGTCTTTAAAAAAATAGTGACATTGATATACAGGTACGCAAAAGAAATGTTGATCAGAATCAGAATCAGAAGTTTTTATTGCCATATGTGTGACAAGTCACAACATTAGGAAATTGCCTGCGGTATTTTGGTGCAGAAGGTAAAATAGAAAAAAATAATAATTAAGAGATAAGCAAATATAAGAACTAATAAAACACTCATAAAATTATTAATGTAAAAAGTGGCAGGAATTAGAGAAGCAGCTATCTACTCCGTGTAGGTACTAATCTGAGTGTTTGTTGAATGGTTCAAGCACAGCATCGGGTCACGTGACTGGGACCAATCAACTTGAGCGGGCTGCCCTAGGATTTTCTTTCAAAAGTCCAACTGCAGAGGGGAAGAAACTGTTTTTGTGGCGAGAGGTTCTGGTCCGAACGGATCTGAGCTTTCTGTCAGATGGGAGTGAGTCGAAGAGACTGTGTCCAGGGTGAGACGAGTCAGCTATTATCCGACCTGCACGCCTCTATGTCCTAGAGGTGTACAGATCTTGAATGGAGGGGAGTTTTGCAGCCAATGACCTTCTCTGCAGAGAAGGTCATTGGCTGCATAGTGGCTGCATCACCTCATGATGTGATGAGTTGTAGAGAAGATGGAGGACTTGGAAGGACTTAGACCCAAAGAGCAAGTCAGAATGGGTGGAAAGTCAGGTGTGATGTTGGTGAGACCAGTTTTGTTGAATGGTTTAGAGACATTTACTGAGGAGGAGACAGAACTGGGACAACTGTTCCTGTCAGATGTTTAAGCAGAGTGACAATGAGCCACCAGGCAGCAGGCTGAGACCAAAAGCTCTTTGTAGAGAAGGTGAGTGACTCAATGGCTAGTGATTACCAAATGTAGATACCTATGTAGATGAATTGGATGGTAAACCTGCTCCTTTAAAGCTCAGTGGTGTCCCGTATGAAAACATCACCTGTCAACATTTACCTGCAGCCCTGACCTGACTCCCCTCTGCTCTGGAACAGGCAGCCAGTAGAAAACATGCTCACTCACCTGTTCTCTAATAGAAAATCATTTTCAAGAGGAAATGTGTGCGGAAGAAAGTTAGCGTAGCAGACGTCCGGAAGAAATCATGGACTTGGAAAACTATTTTCACCTAAGTTACCTGAAGCTCTTCAGTCTTTGCCATGATGTGTGTGTGTGTGTGTGTGTTTGAAGCAGGCGAGACACTTGCAGACAGCAGCAGCTCACCCACCAGGTGTGCAGCATAAACTTCCAGGCTGAACTCAGCAACCTGCTTTACCTGCTCAGCTGGTTGAAGATCCCACGGTGTTTAGAACAAAGTGACAAAGAACAGCTCAGAGGATTCACTCCACAGTGAGATCGGGGGGTGGGTGGGGGGGGGGGGGGGGTCCTTATCGATCAGCAGGATTCTTGGTTGTCACAATTAAGTTTTACATGAATGTAAAAAAGAACTAGCCCCACTTCCGTGAGATCACCGCCGGACCTGCTGGAGATGGAAGCTCAGGCTCACTGCAGACATCCGTCAGCTGATGAAGCAAAAGCACGACAGCAAGCTGGCACACGAAAAGCAGAGTAAAAGTTTATTTGTAATTAATTCTTTACAGCAAAGAGGAAACAGAGAAATTTATATAAAGATCAAAAATATCCTCAATAACAAATTTATATAAATATAGAATAGTGATTATGTTCTAATATAGCTGTCTGAATCAGTTTCACCAACAAATGTATGCAGACCAGCGAGCGTTCCCACTGGCGGACCTTCAGGTGGAGCCATTTTTACTTCATGAGGGTTATTCGATGACATTTCTAATTCTAGTTGGACCTAGTGCTGCTGGCGTGATATAATCTCTAAACGTGTCCGTTACTAAAACTCAATAAAAACATGTAAAAGTACGTAACCGTGGAGTTCTTTTTGCTCTTTAGTGACTAGTTCATACCTCTCAAGTGTCTGACGCCATCAGGCGTGTTCTTACTAAACATCATGTCCACGCAGCTTCAGGCAGGGTCTTGTTTTCGTGTCAAACAGAACTTTTAGCAGCAATAACAGTGATAGCAGCAGCTGGACTCTAATAAGAACCACGTTCATCGGGAACATCTGTTGTGTGGTTTCATGAAGCATAGACATGGACACATGGTACTTCTCAGTCACGTTCACTGTGACCTGGGGGGGTGGGAGGGGGCTGGAGCCCATCTCCAGCAGTTTACAAACAAACCCTTTAAATAATTAAACTGGATTGTTTGTCTTTCATGCAGATGTTCCTCTGCTAGAGACGCTGAACGTGTACAAATAAAACCTAAAGAATACATATTTGCTGATATTAGCTTCCAGGTTTCATATCAGAACGGCGCAGCTGAGCGAAACTAACGGACCCCAGATCAGCTGAAAGACAAAACCGACTGGTGACACTTCACAGGCTCTAGATGACACACGAATCTAATTGTGTACGTTTAAAATTCACTGCACACAAAAGCATAATCTGAAATAAATAATAGATACGTGTTTACATGTATACAGGCGGAGTCGGCTCGTCTCCCGGAGGAGTTGTACCTTTAGTTAGAAGGCTGGTGCGGCAACGTCGCCCCCTGCTGCTGCCAGGCGGTAAAACACATGGCCCAGCTTTCGCTTGCATTCATTCGCGGATAGTTAACGAACACCGGAACCGAGAATCACATTCACGCTTCAGTCAGGGAAAAACAACCGCTTCGGTTTCACAGGATGAGAAAACATCAGTCAGGGCTCCTCTGGTGCCGCAAACCCTCGCCGTGGTGGACTTTAAACATGGTGGGATGAAACACAGCAGAGTGCATTTTATAACGAATCCAAACAGCTTCGGCGTTCAACAGATGCCGAACCTCACCGGTAGAACACGAGCAGATCAAACGTCTCCCGAGAGTCTCGGAGCATCTTTTGAGTCTGAACGTTTCATTTAAAGCCTGCGCGATCTCGGTGGATGGTCTGGTGACACACCCAAGGTTGAGGACCTACTAGAACACGGTGTGGTTCTGTTTCCTGCTGCCGGGACTCATGGGAACACCATCGCTGTTAAACCTTTTCATCTTCTACCACTACAACAATCTACTGACGGCTTTGAACATTTTCATACGTTCATTAGAAAGTGTCGCTTAAACGACATGAAAGTGTTACAGATTTGTCCCAGTAACCGGTCTGAGGACCAGCGGCTGGTTTCTGACACTTGCAGCGTTTCCAGGTCAGATTCGAGTCTGGGTAGGGGGCGTTATGACGTCGGTGTGACGTTACCGGCATAAGCTGAGCGTTACGCCAACAGGACGTCCAAATAAGGTCGGCTGACTCGTTAGAACGGCTCAGATGTTGCTGTCCAACCAACAGCTGTAGTTCATCAAGTACAAAGGGCGTTTTCACCAAACACCATCAACATCCAATAACCTGAAGACTGTGTGTGTGTGTGTGTGTGTGTGTGTGTGAGAGAGAGAGAGAGATGGTGTAGTTCTGGTGATACTTGAACCAAAAACAAGTCTAACTTGGTGACCTGAACTAAAAAATCAGAGGTGGGACTAGACGCTAGTGACTTTATCCACAATAATAATAATTGGCTGCAGAAACGCTCTGGTGGAAATGATCTGCTGCCGCTCCGACCTCGCCTGATCGTAGGTGAAGGACGATGTCATCCACCCGACAGGAGTCCCGGTCTAACTTGGTGCTTTATGACAAACACTGTAAACAACCTACCTTGTTTCCAATGAAAATATAAATAAAGTGCAGCAGGAAAGTGTAAAAATATCTGAATTAGCATTTTTTTAAACTTGTAAGCTGAGTTCACAAAAGCATGAATTTTAGCTGCTCTAAAAAAAAAAAGATGTGTGAATAAAGGTCCATCTGTGAGGACGTGTCTGTCCCGCCCATCTAATGTGTGTGTGTGTGTCTGAAACTACTTCAGCTTTTACAAACATGGCGTCCTTCAGAGTCGAGGCTCAGCAAGGTTTAAGGCCGCCTTCCCACGTTCGCACGAGGGTCATCTGTGGTGTGTTCTCGTGCTTAGTTTTACCCAACATCCAGGGAGAGTGCAGGATATCATGAGACCAGTGTTTAAACACACAAGCACACACACACACACACAGTTTAAATGACAGCTGCGTGTCACTTTGTGTGTGTTTAGTTGCTTTTTGCTGTCGAGGACTGTGCAGCTGCTCTAAGTGACCAGGTAGCAGTAGATGACGTGGAGAAGCATCATGGTGACACAGTAAAAGAGCAGGAAGTCTTTGGACAGCAGCGAGGTGGGAGAGGAGGGTGGCGGTAAGGATGCAGACGACGAACGGGGACGGGGGTGGTGCTCTGCCACCTCCATGGCCAACAGGGCCTTCACACAGCGTAGCACAGCGGGCAGCTTACAAAGAAGCACATCAGAGCACACACACACCTTGGTCTGGACACCAAACGCACACACACAGAAGAAAAACACAAATAATGTTAAAAGTGGGACAACATGGGACAAAAACACAAGTAGCAGTAAAGCAGTTAGGCCTGGACTGACGTGCACGTTTCAGGAAAACTTTCCTCAAATCCAAAACACGCCGGTACCATCAGTCCAACCCTGACAGCCAGGTTGTGTTGCTGTAAGTGTGTGAAACTCTCCTTATGCCTGATGCTTCATCTTTGTGTCTATCACAGTAAACACACGACTGACGGCGTGTCCGTACCTCAGGAACTCCCAGCCTTCGACAAGCAGAGAGGAAGTTTTCAACGTTGAGTCGAGACTTTGCTGCACTCAGCTTTGGCTGAAAGAGAGCGCGCACGCACACACACACACACGCACGCACGCACGCACGCACGCACGCACGCACGCACGCACGCACACACACACACACACACACACACACACACACACACACACACACACACACACACTTGTTTTTAGCATTTGGGGGGGACTCACGACTAAAACAAACCCATCCATTGGGGTCTCCTTGTTTTACAGTATCATTTCACTGTTGTTATTCATTTGATAAAATCAATTGGTTGATATTGATTGATTAACATTTCAGAAGGAGCTGAAGGATGATATTAGTTAATAAATGTATAGCCAATTAAGATTTGTGTCTCAGATTGGATTTTGTGTGTTGGCTGAAAATCTCTGCTCCTAAACGGATTTTACGAACTTCAGACAGACTAACCAGAGGTTTTGGATTCATTTTTCTCCATTAAAGGGGATGGTGCCCCGTAGATATCTAAGGATATCTTAATTAATTAATAAATCGGTAAATATTTCCATATTTACAGAATTTATTGAAGAATCCAAAAAGTAAGTAAAGCTTACAAATTATCCGTTCACCTAATAACTCCAACACTACATTCTAATGAGAAACTTATTGCTCTCAGCAGGAATCTTGCTCATTTAAAAGCTTTTCTTTCTATTCTCCCAAAGGCTGACCTCTGAACTTGTTAAAACGTGTTGGGTTAATGTTTGGTATGGTCGCTATGGCAACTCAACTGTCTCCTTTCGCAGCCTGGGCGGGACTGTGGGAAGGCCGCTGAAACGTTCCAGGGTCACTGCAACCCTCCAACCCTCAATGCTCCTCCCCCTATCCACACTGAGGTGACATGCGCTGCTGGTAGTGGCTGCAGGAACTGAAGTGTGGATAGTCCCAACCCACCACCCCACCTAGTGGACACTTATGTTGTGTTGTCTGAAGTCTGTTGCATATCAGTCTGAGGTGTTTTTTTGCAGAGCAAAGCTGCCCTCCTGGTGGGAGGGTAACTCTGAAGTGCCGTTTTTTCCCTCCACCTGAACCAATCCTCATGTAACCCTCTGATCTCTATTAAGGTAGCGCGACTCGGGTTGCGAATGACCACAGTCACCAATTCTTGTCATGTGTCTTGCCCATGCATGTCTGATCTCTGAATTGCGTGTACGGAAACTCTAATTTCCCTCTGGGATTAATAAAGTATCTTTGATTTGATTGATTGATTGATTTGGTAGTACATCCTTCTGGTGGATTCTGGTCCAACTATATTTACTTATATGTACTTCCTTCTTTGGCTTCCATCGTAACGGACTTAAAAAGGACTACAGGAACGTAATCACGTCATCAATTATGTAATAAATGCATACAAGCTTACAAAGCTTTCAGAAGGGACCTCTGATTCAGCTCACGAGGCTCGTAATGATTTGGATGACTGAGAATCTATACCGTGTCGCTCCCAGCACTCACCACTGCAGGTGAAGGAACGTGGATGATGGAGACGGAGCGTGGTCGAATGTGATTGACCAGCTGGCAGAGGACGGTACCGTTGGACAGAGCGTCTCCAAGATCCTCTGGTAGAGTCATCTTCAACGTTGACTCCAGAGTCTGAGGAGTGATGTTTTGCATGATGATTTATCACAACACAAGATTATCCAGGTCTTTGCACATTTGCACAGAAACACAGACGTGACTGTTCACCTTGCGTAGCTGTAAAATGTCTGATCTCTCTTCTTTTGGAGAACGTAAAGTGGTGCTAGACTCACTCCTTCCAGATTCTCCCAGAGTGAAGATGCTTCCTGATGAACATAAACAAGGCGCTGGTGAAGGTTCTCAGTTAGGGTCATCTACTGGACTTTGTTGGTTTCACTTTGCATCTCAGGAGCTTTGTTAATTCTGGATGGAAAATGCTGGGACACCATCTTAAATCAGTCACTAGCTGAACTTGTGCCTCCCAGAGGAGTCGATCTCCTTAGGCCCTATTGTGCTGGACTGTGCAGTGTTTGGGTCAGATGTAGGAAGGTGTGAAGCACACTGAAACTAGGTTCAGAGATGCAGTGGAGGGATTTGAAAGGTGAGACCAGAGGCCTCCTCCTCTGTTTTTATGTAGGTTTTTCTGTTTGACCTAGATGGCTTCCCTTACTCCTCTGGTTTAGGGAAAGTCCCAGAGGTAGGGAAGAGCATCCAAATGCAAGTTCAGTTAAGACACAACAGCTCGCTTCAGTATTTAAGATAAACTTGCAGATTCCAACTAGAACTGAAAAATGCCACAATCCCATCAGTACCTACTCAGCGAGACCAGAGCTGATTTGGTTCGGTCGGACGTGATTTCCATCTGTAACAGGTACCAGGTTGCCACAAACATTTTAGTACCTGCACTGATGAAGTTCCAAGAGTACCAAACCACGTCGAAAACCCAACGTCAGCAATGATCAGTGACTGATTGATAGGGGATGGAGTCACCTGAGTTTTCTGCCTGCTGCCTCACTGGCGTTTCCGGGTTCATAGTCTAACAAAAAGCCAATGACTGAACAGAATTTTCAACATCACAACCATGTCCACCTCCAAATCTGAGACCATGGTTTTCAACCAGAAAAGGGTGGCCTGCCAACTCCGGGTCGGGAGAGAGGTCCTACCTCAAGTGGAGGAGTTTAAGTATCTCGGGGTCTTGTTTACGAGTGAGGGTAGGAGGGATCGGGAGATCGACAGGCGGATTGGTTCGGCGTCTGCAGTGATGCGGACGCTGAGCCGATCTGTCGTGGGGAAGAGGGAGCTGAGCCAGAAAGCCAGGCTCTCGATCTACCGGTCGATCTACGTCCCAATCCTCACCTATGGTCATGAGCTTTGGGTAATGACCGAAAGAATGAGGTCGCGGATACAAGCGGCCCAAATGAGTCTCCTCCGTAGGGTGGCCGGGCTCAGCCTTAGAGATCGGGTGAGGAGCTCGGACATTCGGGAGGGACTCGGAGTAGAACCGCTGCTCCTCCGGATCGAAAGGAGTCAGTTGAGGTGGTTTGGGCATCTGGTCAGGATGCCTCCTGGACGCCTCCCTGGGGAGGTGTTTCGGGCATGTCCTGCTGGCAGGAGGCCCCCGGGTCGACCCAGGACACGTTGGAGAGGTTACATCTCCAATCTGGTCCGGGAACGCCTTGGGGTCCTGCCGGAGGAGCTGGTGGAGGTGGCAGGGGAGAGGACGGTCTGGAGCTCCCTAGTTGGGATGCTGCCCCCACGGCCCGGACCCGGATAAGCGGAGGAAGACGACAACGACAACCATGTCCACCATTGTTGTTTTTGTGTGACATACAGATCACCTTGTATGACTTTTGTGCTGGGTACAGATCACCGCGTGCTCGTGGGGGCCACCGCCAGTCTCCCGCTAATGATCACACCCTTGTGTCGAGTGGAGTTGAATCAAGTCCAGCTGTAATGAGCAGGTACTAAAAGGAACTGCGGCAAAAGCTCGTTTGATCACAAGTGAAATGATAACGTATCGAAGAATTCTAGTTGCCCTCATTTATACCTCAGAAACACAAACTAGGCTGATCTGAATGAGGCGGCAGCCGCAGGGGAGGTGTGACTGTGTGACCCTACCTGTGGGTTTGCTGCGGGACGAAGAGCGAAACAGGAAGCTGTTGGGTCTTTGAGTCTGACCAGGTGGAGAGGATGTCTTTGGGGAGGACGGCACATCTGACGTAAACATTCAGGTCATGTGTTAGTAGGCAGCAGAGAGGCTAGGCTAATTAGCCCAAACCTTAAAAAGGTTTTATAGAAAAACTGGTTAAATGTGATATTAATGAGATGAAATTTTTATAGGGAATGTTTAATTGTAAAATATTTCAAACTAAAAGCATTTTTATTATTAGTTTTGTAGCGACATGTAAAGGCATGTGAGGTGGTTAACTTTTACCCTGGTTCAGCCCCTCTGCACGGTGTGTACACGTGCAAATGACCTTCTGGTTACTGATCACACATTACTGATTATCATAAACAATAATTACTATTAACCTGTACCTGTTCTGCTGCTAGAGCGGTGCAGGACTGAAGGAGACGCCGTGGTCATCTGGTCAGCACTCTGATCAACCAAAACAGGCCAGAATCACAACAATTAGAAACTTTTCAGTAATGCACCTCTTTATTTGTCCCACTTCTGCTGACCTGGAAGACAGAAACTTACCGCACATCTCAGCCGCAGGCCTGAGAGGGACGTTCCATTTTCAGGTGAAGCACCACTAGGGAGGGACAGACACCACTCTTCACTCATAAAAAACTTACAATTTCAGCATTTCTACAGCTTTATTTTGACAGGACTGTGAAAATGCAAAAGTTAACAGTATAAACAGCAAAAGTGAATTTGATGTGGGTCACTGCTGCTTTTGCTAAAGCCCTAAACGTTCTAGAAGTACTTACCAGGAACTACTTCCAGCCTGTGATGAGGTGGCGCGAGCATTACTTCCTGTTTTGGAGGACGGCTTCAGCAGACTGAAAAATTGTGAATGCCAAGAAAACGTAAGCAGTGAAAGAGACAGGACAGTAGCCTTAGCATTCACACCCGGCGACACGTACTGGTACTGTTCAGAGAACCGTGCCTTTTATCGGTCTCCCAAATAAGCAAGAAGTTCTGTTTTACTCTTAAAAATAAAATTCACAAGCAAGGCAGAAAACCTGTGATGCCTGGTTCAATGGCTCTTCTAGATCATTGGGATAAAAGAGCCATTCAGCCTTCCTTCTGCCTACCTTGCATTCTCCCTCTGCTGTTGCAGGCGCTCTCTCTCCTGCCAGATGAACAGGGTGCCAGGCCTCCTCCGCTCCTCCAGGGTGGGGCTGGATGGTGATGATGCGGGCGAATGGGAGCTCAACTCCATGTGCATACTGGATATGGGCGAAAGACTGAGGAAGAGAGAACTTTATTATATATGATTTATTTATAATAATAATAAAAAACCAGATATAAGCAACCCTGGTGAATAATTAACCCTAAGTACACAACCATAAGGTGTTTGAAAATAATAACACTATTAGTAGTTACAGTCATAATAACTATAACAATAATAACTACCTAAATCCCAAAACAACCAAGCCATAAATGAATAAATAATAAACCAATAAACTAAAAGCGCTACTATAACAATTCCGGCAGAGTATGAGGGTACATTTTCATCATTCTGAAATACATCAGGTGATATAGTCAATACAAATTATTAGGGATGAGCCGGATAAAGCATTTTTGACGAGTACGAGCGTGAAACGAGTAAAACTGGTAAATATCTGTAATCGTGCTGAAGGGAAATCCTCATTGGGTAACTGACTGTCTTCACGCTCTGTGATTGGCCAGTCAAATAAGCGCCCGCCCCTCCCTACACACAAAACTCTGCAGCCGGGAGCTCACAGCTCAGTCCGCGTCCGGTCCATCCACACACGCACGCACGCACGCACACACACACACACGCACACACACACACACACACACACACACACACACACACACACACACACACACACACACACACACACACACAGACAGTAACGGCTCTCTGTGCTTGCTTCACTGTTCACGTTTCTTCAGTACTCCCTATGTTTTCTTCAGTTTGCTTCTTTTTAAAGTTACTTTAAAGTTACTTTAAAGTAACTTTAAAGTTACTTTTGTCATAACGTACGTGGTGCATTTGACGAGACAGAGCTGAAAACGGCTCGTGCTGCGTCAGTCACTGCCTCCGCTCCGGTCGGGTTTTTTTTCCCTCTCTCTCGCTCCTCTTCCTCAGGATCCACTCCCTCTTTCCTGTTCACTCTCTCTATTTCTTTACATTTTTAATCACAATTGTCTATTTTTTGCTCATTTTAAATATATTTTAATCATTTTCTAAATTCTTTTTTCTATTTTACATGTTTTGTTTTTGTGAAGCGCCCCGTGATTTTTATCTTGAGAGGCGCTATAGAAAAGATCTTTCCTTCTCTCTCTCTCTTAATCCATGCACTTAAACATTAATGTTCTGATTTTATTGAAAAACTTGTTCTGTAATAGTTCCTTTACTATTGTGATCAAAAACATTTCATCTCAACTCTGAGGCTGCTCTGTAAATAGTTTTCAAATAAACAATACACACAGCAACTTCTGATCAGACTTAAAATAACATATTGATGTAAACCACACCCACTTCCGGTTAAACCACACCCACTTCCGAGTTAGGCCACGCCCACTCCCGAGTACAGATACAGATCATTTATATGGTTGAACAGATACAGATAGTGGGTAAGATTAGCTGGACCTAAGTTACATCTTGCACAGTTAGATTTAGCGCTGGAGAAAACCCGAGCCATACTACTCCTAGACCAGTGTACTCTATGATGTACCACTTTGCACTGGATAATACAAGGTCTGGCGCAGATGGATGAAAAATGACTACGCTTCAAAATAGACTGCCAATGATCACTGCTAATTTCTACACCAAGCTCTTTGGACCAAGCCACACAAGAACGATCGGATGTTACAGAGCATATAGAGAGAAAAAAGTTGTACATTTTGGATATAACCCATTTCTGATGAGGCTTAATTTCCATTAAAATATCAATCATAGTGTTTTCTGGGGCATTAGGAAAGTTTGGAAAGTGTCTGCTAATAAAGTCTCTAGCTTGTAAATATAAAAAAAAAGTGAGCGTTAGACAAATTAACATTTTCCGATATCTGAGTAAATGAAACTAAAGTTCCACCCTCAAAAAAGTCCCTCACAGAAACAAGTCCCCGACTCTTCCATGATGCAAAAGTTTTATCTGTGAGTGATGGGGGAAATAAAGGGTTTAAATAAAATGGCGAATGGAGGGGTATATATTCAAACCCAATGTGCTGCTTCCCTTGGGACCACATTTTTAACAGTTTTTAATGACAACATTTTTTGAATATGACTTGGTCACCCTCATGGTTATCCTCATGATCACCCTCATGGTCACCCTCATGGTTGCCTTCACGGTCATTCTCACAGTCACCTTCATGGGTACCCACATGGTTGCCCTCACGGTTGCCCTCATGGCCACCCTCATGGGTACCCACATGGTTGCCCTCACGGTTGCCCTCATGGTCACCCTCATGGTTGCCTTCACGGTCATTCTCACAGTCACCTTCATGGGTACCCACATGGTTGCCCTCATGATTTCCTTCACGGTCACTCTTACGGTCACCCTCATGGGTACTCTCATGGTTAAACTCATGGGTACCCTCATTAGAGCCCTGCACTGAAGCCCGAGGCCTTTGGGTCGGCCCGGCCCTCGGGCCGGACTTCAGGCCAACGACTGTGCAATTACCTCGGACACGGGCCGGGCCGGGCGCCTTTATTTTTAATCAAATTCATTAAAAAAATTGAAACACTTAAACGCAGCAGTAGAGCCCTGCGCGGGACTGTTTTCTTCATCCTGCTCCTGCCCGCTCCCGCTGAATTTCTGACCATTACCGCCTGCAACCGCAACGTGTGTGTTACACTCCCACCCCACCTGCAGCGTGCATGTCTACTCCCGCCCGCAACCGCAAAACTCGGAGAAATTATTACCTCACAATAAAAGAGATGTATTGAGTTTGCGTCCTCAACATGTCATTTTATAGGTTATCCGCTTTCACCGCAGCGCTACGCTCCGTTTCAATCAGGCTGTACAGCAGGATTTCCCCTCGTAGCGATATTTTCTCTAACTCTGATTGCTTCATGCTATAGATCGTTGGAAAGCTGCTTTTATGTACTTTTAGGAACCGTTGGAATTATTTCAATCTGATCAGCCAGTCAAAAGTTATAAACGGAGCATTTTGGATGACAAACTCAGCACGTCTCTGAATCTGTGTTGTGATTCGTTGCGCTCAAGACAGGGGATCCCGGTGGCTACCGTAATGTATTGTATATGCACGCAAAGCCCCATTTTTAATCTTTTCAGCACTTTTGGAATTTTAATGATATCTTGAACTAGAGCAGGGATTGGCAACCCGCGGCTCTTCCATCCATCTGATGCGGCTATCTGAGCTTGTAAAATAATGAATGGATATTTAAATAAAATGCTTTATATTTTACTGAATTAATTTTATATCTGTAAGTCAATTCTATGTGAAGATTGTCTGCGTAAACCTGAACAGGTCCAACCCAGTCTTACTGTGACCGGGTTGATGGGTCATGCTTGTGTGTAATCATATCGGCGCTTTCTGAGCTGACGAGGATGTGAGATTCTGGGATTCTCCTCAGACGGCTCCTGGATGTGTCGCACATTGGAGACAGGAACAAGCGCTATTCAGCCAAAGTTTCATAATCAGGGAACATTTTCTAAGTGACAAGTCTCTCTGAGTGACCGGGTTTCTTGTATGAACACAATCTTAGCATTTAATTGCTTTAGATGATTAAAATTACTTTCTTCCGCTTTACTGGAGAGTTTAACCCCTTCACATTCCAGCTAGTAAATCTCAACACACCTCCTTGTGTCAATGAGAGAAACTTTTAAATCACCGTAATGATCAACAAATGTGTGTGTGTGTGTGTGTGTGTGTGTGTGTTGCGCTCAGTCCCATATTGTAGGTATTTTCCCTTAAATTGTAGTGGTTTGATAGAAAGTCAGGAAATGTCTAAGTGACAAGGAGGGGCCTCAGCTGCCACGACTAAAGGACACTCAACAACCAGCTCGTCGGGTCGATGCTGTGTACAGACCTTCATCTCTTTGATTGTTTAGAGGAGATGAAAAAACATTTTATTGTAAAGTCAGTCCCATAACTTCCTCACAAATTGCACAGCCCTAGTTCCTTTACACAGAAGCGCTCGGAGCTGCCAATATTTTATTTTTAGACGTCCCAGAGGAAGCGTTAGGGGCCAAAGTCCAGAGCATCTGTTAGATGGAGCTGCACTCTGTTCAACGCTTCTTCAGCCTGGTGACCAATCACAAAGAGGCTGGGAACTAAACAGCCATGAATATGTGACCTAATTCAGCTAATAAAGGTGGAACATTTGGAACAATAGAGTCCATTGCATGTTCATACGGCTGGAATGGGCCTGAAGGGACACTGGATCTCAACACCGAAGGTTGAAACGTCAACAGAAAGCAGCCTGTTCGGTTTCTGCCTGGGTCTCCTGAAAGACCATCTGAATATTCAACTCACACGTTTTCATAGAGGCTTCACCTGCCAGGATATAATTCCTCTGCCAGTAATCCCATTACTGAGACATCTTTCTAATAATAACCTTTATAACTATTGTAGCATTCAGGATTAAAATAGGATCTTCAGATTATTTATTTATGGAATAATCCTGGACAGGTATAGAAGTTATCAAAAAGACGTCACACTCCCTAATTTTCTCTGGTCCCCTGCCTGGTCGGACATGTTTAGACAGATGCTGTCCCTCAAGCACTGGTTGTCTAGTGGTGTCCTCAAAACAAAACAACGGGGTCTACATTGATAATTGACAGAATTTTAGTCTCTCTCTCTCTCTCTCTCCCTCTCCCTCTCCCTCTCTCTCTCTCTCTCTCCCCCTCTCCCTCTCTCTCTCTCTCACTCTGGCCATTTCTATCATTCCTCTAAATCAGGGACTCCCAACGTGTGGTGCACGCACGAGCTGCCGCTAGGGGGTGAGCGAGGTGAAAAGTGTAATGGCTACGGAGCTCACAGACTTCTGTCAAAAGTCACCATTAGCGTAGCCAGAAACTAATTTGTGGGTGGGCCCAGTAAACGTAATTGAAAACAAGTATATTTTGCTTGTGTGTGTGTGTGTGTGTGTGTGTGTGTGTGTGTGTGTGTGTTCTCCGCACATGCCCTTGCTCAGGGGTCGGCAATCCGCGGCTCTGGAGCCGCATGCGGCTCTTCCATCCATCTGATGCGGCTCTCTGTGCTTGTAAAATAATGAATGGATATTTAAATAAAATGCTTTATATTTGACTGCATAAAGTTTACATCTGTATGCTAATTCTAAATGTAAAGATTGTCTGCGTAAACCTGAACAGGTCCAACCCGGTCTACTGTGTGACGTCAGCAGGCAAATCAACATGAAAACGACTCGTGTTGTTATCTAGTCAGCTACCGTCCCTGCTGTCTAACAAACAGCAGTTAATGTTTTGCTCTATCTCAACAAACACATTTAGGACAAGGCAGGGACATACCCCTACACTGGCAAAGTACAAAATACACTTTCGTAATACGTTAATTAACTGCTAAGCGTGTCAATAGTGGGTTAAAGAAATTTTGGAAAACATGCAGTCCTAGTGACAAATCTATGATCCATGGTCAAAATACACTTTCCTGTGCTAGCGTCCCAGTGCTGACAAGCCTGCTGAAGGTTCAGCAAGAGAAAGAGGAGGAGATATTTTCTATTTTCATACTTTTAAAATAAACTGGTGCTCCCCTCACACACAGATGTCGTCAACATGTGAGAGGCAGCGTTTCCCCTCGACTTTTCTCCTGAAAGCTGTCAGCTACTATTTATAACATTTGTCCGTCTCTGCTGCCCCTTTTACTCAGATTTATGTGGATCCTCTCATGAACGTTAGTAAACAAACTCAATCTCAACAATGACCACTGATGACTGATGACACCCTGGACCAAAATCAGTTTGAATCTGTAATTCTAAAAATGTTCATCTCAAAACTGATTTGGAGAACTAAACTTCTCCGTGGCCTAGTGGTGAGTGTCTGCCCTGGGACTGGGAGATCGGGGTTCAAAACCCAGCTGGGTCACACCAAAGATTATAAAATGGGACCCAACGCCTCAGCCGCAGCTCACCACTCCCCACGAGGATGGGTCGGATGTGGAGCTGAATTTCACCCGTGTGTGATGACTAATGGGACTTTAACTTTAAACTGTGTTATATTAAAGTTGTTAATGGACATGAATGAGCAACTTAAACACACCTGTGTGGTGTTTCGTCTTTGCTTTGGGAAGGTGAAGGTGCCTCCTGCTCCTGAAAAACAAGCACTGTATTTTTATTAAGACACTGATAAATAATTATCATTAGTTTTCATGTAAATGAATGGAAGAGCTTTGGTGGTTGGGACAGAAAATAAAACCAATGAACTGGAGGAGAATAAGGCCCTGTCCACACGTAGCCGGGGATCTGCCAAAACGTAGATATTTTTCTACGTTTTGGCCTGTCATCCACACGAAAACGGAGTTTTTTCACACGAAAACGGATCTTTTTAAAACCTCCGGCCAAAGTGAAGATCTGCGTTTTCTCTGTTTTGGGTGTCTGCGTGTGGACAGACAAAACCGGAGTTTTAAGGTCCGCAACGTCACTTTCCGCGACAAAAAAATGCTGACATCACGTGTGCGACCTGTGTTTACACTAGCCGACAGCATGGATGCCCTCAGAGCTGCGCTCGCTTTATCAATTGTCCAAGCGCTTTTTGCTTGTTTGTTTTTGCAAGCGGAATTACTGCTCCTTGTGGAAGACCACAGACGAAGGACGAGGTTAAGAACGGGGGAAGTACTGCCGCCTACAGGTCTGGCATGTCCTTAACAACGTATTTATCCGGGTACGTGTGGACAGAGTTTTTTTTTAAACGAGGTGGTGTGGATGCAAGTTTTTGGAGGGGCGGATATTCGTTTTAAAAAAACCCGGCTACGTGTGGACTAGGCCTAAGCCTCCACTGGAACCACGTGGTTGAAAACAACATATGGAAGAACACATAAGGATGTGGAGGACTGTACCAGAGGAGAAGTGGCTGGATGTATTCTGATCTCCTCTCCTTCCTCGATCACGCTATTCTCAATGAAGTCATCCTGGTCTGCCTCTCCATTTACTGAAAAAGAAAAAACCTTTTAAATTGATTAATTTTTCCACATAGATATGAAAACAACATTAAATGTTTACAACGACAATAATTTAGAGTAAGCCCTCACTCACCATTATTTACTTCCTGAGATCGATCCTTCTCCAGGTTTCTCTGGTCCCTGCTGACTTCAGCCAGTCGGAGAGAACGCTCGGAGAAGTCATCTGTTGACTGAATAAATATACAATTACTCCTTTATTCCTTTGATTCTATTTAGGGCTTGGCAATAAATAAAAAATGTATTGTTATCAAAATTTCTGACTCTAGTCGATAGATTTTCCCATGTTAATTATAACAGAAATGAAGATGTGTGTAGGTCGGCGATGTTCATGTCCCTTTAAGAAGCTGTACCACACCACGTGACAAAGTGACTCAACGTATTACATGCGACAGCCCCCTCTAGTGGACAACGTGATAACCTGTAGTTATCGTCCGTTTATTGTTATCGAGCTGAAATCTATTATATACTATTGATTTTAGGCCATATCGCCCAGCCCTACTTCTACTTAATGGTTTCGTTTCTGGATCAGTGAGTAGTCACCTTATTCATCAGGACATAAAACACAACTTTATTCTGATCCAGTCTCAAACTTTGTTAAATATTCCTTAAAAAATAAAGAAAAGGTAAATGGTAAATGGCCTGTATTTGATATAGCGCCTTCTAGAGTCCTGGAACCCCTCAAGGCGCTTTACAACACAATCAGTCATTCACCCATTCACACACACATTCACACACACATTCACACACTGGGGCGCACTGACAGAGGCAAGGCTGCCGAGCACTGGTGCCACCGGTCCCTCCGACCACCACCAGCAGGCAACATGGGTTAAGTGTCTTGCCCAAGGACACAACGACAACGACAGACTGAGCGGGGCTCGAACCTGCAACCTTACAATTACGGGGCGAGCTCTTAACTCCTGTGCCACCGTCGAACTTGATGTATGACACAAGAATGATATTTGTTCCAAGTGAAGACTGAATATGAATGAAGATAAAAACAACATCTGCTCTTTTAAGAACAAGAGGGTTCGCCAGATAATCAAAACTTGGATTGGGGAGGAGCAATGGGGTCTTTGCCCTGGCCAACGAACACTAAACCAGCTCTACACACATAACAGGGTCCTGGAGGGTGTGTGGGAGGTCGCCCACCCGACCGAGTGTTTTATTGATTTGGAGAAGGTGCTCGACCTGTAGGGGGTGCTCCAGGAGCTGTGCCAGGCCCCTTGGTACAAGCTATTAGGTCCCCAAGCAATCTGTGTCAGAGCTGGGTTTGCATTTCTGGCAGTAATGGACCATTCCCATCTGTACCGGGTCGGCCCGGGCCGGGTAGCGTAGGTTGTTTACATATCTGGGTGGCCTGGTATTTTTCCGGGCCAACCAAGGCTCATTCTCAGCCCTCTTCTCGAGGGGGTCTGCTTCAGGCCGACCAGGGCCAACACACCCACTGCTGACAGCAAATTCACACCTTCCATTAGAGCAAGCCTCTGATTGGTGGGTAGAATCAGCCCACATGGGCTTAAGACAAGGATGTGTGGAATCAACCGGGCCAGGCTGGGGCCGACTGGGGCTACCCGGCCCGGGCCGACCCGGTACAGGTGGGAATGGCCCATAAGTTGGGCTGGTTCCTGGTGAGAGTTAAGCCCCACCCCACTCTGCAAGGTCAGCCCCAGCTTGACTTAGCCTGACCGGGTTTATTACACACATCCTTAGGAATGCAGTTGTGACTGAGCATATGGGCGGTCTCCAAAATTGGCGCAAAGATGTCATGAGAATGTAGGCGAGGCAAAAGACGCACGCAGAAGTCGGCGGCAGCCGCGAGCAGCGCTGCTCCGCTGTATCTGTCCTCCTGTGGGTCAGTTCAAGCCTCACAGTGCTGTGTGTGTGTGCGTGCGCTCACAGCACAAAGAGAGAAAAAGAGACGGCTTCAGTCAGAGGCATGTTTTCTCCTCAGAAACAAGAATGATAATGAATTGTGCATGCATGCAGGAAGCCCCCGCTGGATTCCTCCCCTTAATGGTAGCTTGAATGTGAGCTGGCCAATCAGTCGGCAGTGAGTGTGTTGGACCAGTTCAGCACAAAGCAGACCACCTTGGGAAGAGGGCTAAAAAAAACACAGGTTGCCTGCAAAAGAATCCAGGCTATGCGGGTGTGAACACTCTCTACGCAGTCTAGGCAAGGTAGAGCCGATGCTAGTGCGGAAGTCCTATTGGACTCCGCCAAAGTTGCCCGTTGTCATCTATGCTGTTCATGACAGGAGTTCAAGGCTCCACCAAGGAGCTGGAGGGAACAGTTTCAGAGGCCTAAGAATCAGGTCTCTGCTTTTTGCAGGTGATGTGGTCCTGTTGGCTTCATCAGACCTTGATCTTCGGCTTTGGTTGGAGCGGTTCACAGCCAACAGTGAAGCAGCTGGGATGAGAATCAGCTCCTCTAAATCCAAGACCATGGTCTTGAGTCGGAAAAGGGTAGAATGCCTTCTCCAGGTCAGGGATGAGGTCCTGTCCCAAGTGGGGAGTTAAAAGTATCGTGGGGTTTTGTTCACTAATGGAGAAATGGAGCGAGAAATCGATAGGTGGATTGGTGCTGCATCTGCAGTGATGCGGGCGTTGTACCGGTCTGTCGTGGCGAAGAGAGAGCCGAGTCAAAAGATGAAGCTCTTTATTTACTGATCGATATACGTTCCTACCTATAGTCACAAGCTTTGGGTGGCGACCTAAAGAACAAAATTGTGGATAGAAGTGGCAGAAATTTGATTTGTCCGCAGGGTGTCTGGGCTCTGCCTTAGAGAAATGGAGAAAAGCTCGGTCATCCAGGAGGGGCTCAGAGTAGAGCTACTCCACACTGAAAGGAGCCAGTTGGGGTGGCTCAGACTTCTGGTTAGGATGCCTCGTAGACTGCTCCCAAGTGAAGTTTTCAGGGCACGTCCAGCCAGGAAGAGGCCTAAAGGGAGACTCTATAAGGGCTGTTCCTCAGCTGGCCTGATGCCACAGACTCCCCCCAGAGGCCCATGTGGCTAGGGAGAGGAAAATCTGGGCCTCCGCTAGGCTGCAGAGTAAAAAAACACAGAACAGATGAACCAGACACAAGAAGGACACAGCAGAAAAACAGAAACAGTGAAATCAGCCATAAATGATCACTGCAGACGCAACAACACACGCATCGTAGGGAGAAAAAGCAACAGATACAAAAGATGGATAAGGGAAGTAATCTAAACCAGAGAACACTGAACGACGACCATCACCCGAGACGAGGGGCCTTACTGACTTCCACAAACTCAGGAACCACTCATCAAGAGGATGCCAGCAAGCCAAGGCCGCATTATGATGGCGCCACATTGAGAATGTTGCTGAGGCTGTGAGCAGGTCTGCAAGAAGCTCTGGAGCGCATGAATACTCAGCGCTCTCCATACTTGAGGAGATGCAGAAGCGAGCGTGAGAGAGGTGCACAGACTTGAAAAAAAAGGGTGGCGCAACTCCACATGTGAAATAAAGTTTTTAATTGATCGTCTCAGCGTTGTGTGTGGAGCTCAAAAGCTGAGTTAGTTACTGTACGATGAACGTCTGCCTGATGTTTTTCTGTCAAGACCGTTTTATTCCCCTTCCTTGAGCTGCTCACATGGGCCCCCTAGTGAGCCTAGCCCCTAGGCCTGTGCTCACTGGATAATCCGGCCTTGCAAGAAGTGCACGTGGAAGTTCAAGTCAATTCAATTCAATTCAATTCAATTCAAGTTTATTTATAAAGCGCCAAATCATGACAAGAGTCGTCTCAGGGCACTTCACATAATAAACATTCCAGTCAGGTCAGTTCATTAAGCCAATCAGAAATATTGTTTCCTATATAAGGAACCCAGCAAATTGCATCAAGTCACTGACTAGTGTCAGTGACTATACAGCAATCCTCATACTAAGCAAGCATGCAGCGACAGTGGAGAGGAAAACTCCCTTTTAACAGGAAGAAACCTCCAGAGAATCCTGGCTCAGTATAAGCAGCCATCCTCCACGACTCACTGGGGATCGAGAAGACAGAGTGCGCGCACGCACGCACGCACGCACGCACGCACGCACGCACGCACACACACACACACACACACACACACACACACACACACACGCACACACACACACACACACAATAATGTGTCTATAGTTCTATTGTGATGTCTTAGTAAATATTCTGTTTGGTGAGATCAACTTTATTGTATTTATCCTAGTGAATCTCTAATTAAACGGGTAAACTAGCAGTAACACGTCCAACGTCAAGGAAAGCAAAAAGTTATTATCAGGAGAAGTGCCCGTGGACCTGACAGCTCCATTGGCCACTCCCACGTAGTGCGCACAGGGGATACCAGATAAAAGCTACGTCGTTGCTCCATCAGACGATGAAGGCTTCAAGCAAGAAGCTGAAACTGTCGGCAGGCGAAGAAATCCATCTATATTTTACCTGTGATGCTTATTAGACGAAAATTATTTTAGTGTCAAAAACACGTAACCTGTGACACGTGTGCTGATGTCTTGTGTAATTGATATTACTCGTACAGAGTGACTCTGTTAGCTTTGTAAAGCCTCTAGAAAAGGAGACTACAAAAGTGAGCATTCCTTCCTGGCGTTGTGTGAATTCATCCTTGTGCGGATGGTTTTTCAGGTGACAAAGTCTTGCAGAGCTTTGAGGGGATGATTATTATTATTATGATCATTTGTTTCTGCAAAAAACTGAAATGCTTGCTGAAAGGATTTTATACTCATGAATGTCTTTACTGTGTTCCACTTCAAAGGATGATGCATAGTTTGCAGCTGTAATAGTTAAATTCAGTTTCGCTGAGCCATTATGCACGTATAGGGCAGTGTTGCGTATCTTTTCTAACTGCTTTTAATGCAAGCGAGGGAGCAGGAGTCCTGTGCAAATGTTTGCTTCCACTGTGTTGTCTCAGTAAGTCGACTCTTACAATTAGCGCGAGACAAAACTGTACGTCTTACCTACGGCACACGCTTTCAACTTAAATAGGCTAAACTGAATATTTAACACGTGCAGTTTTATGCACTACTTTGAAAATTCATTGTTTAATATTAGGGATGCACCGATGGATCGGCATTTGATCGTAATCGGCCGATAGCGCCCCTATCGGTTTAGATCGGAATTTTCAAAATAGATCAAAGCAGACCAATCAGCCGTAGGGTTGTCACGGTAACCGGTGTAGCGGTAAACCCCGGTAAAAAAAGTTGACAATAATAACGTCTTGTTTTTAAAACACTATATTATCTTGGTGGGTTTACCGTGGCTGCGGTGTAGGCGCGGTGACCCTTACCAGCCACCGTATCATCTGCTGAAGTTGCCGGCGGCACATGTGCACTTTGTTGTTTACAACCAAAACTTTCTTGAAGCTAAAGCTGAAATAATGGCCAAAGGAGGAGACGGCAGCGCTCAGGACATTTATTATCCCTCAAAGAAGACAAAGTGGGAAGTACGGGCATGTTTTGGATATTTGAAGAATGCTGAGGGACATTTTAGTGAAGACGGCTATCCTGTTTGCAGCACGTGCAGAAAAAGTGTCTGTGAAAGGCAGCAACGCTTCAAATCTCATGACACATCTGCGTGACCATCACCCACAACTCTACAGTCAACGCAAGGCAAGCTAACGTTAGCGTTTTAGCTAAAAAGCATGATCCGAGGATTTGGGTTGAGGGAGAACGCAACGAGTCGCTATATAAAGCAGCCGCAGCGCCGCTACCTGCATATAAACCGTGTCGTGGACACCCCCATGTTGAAATGACGCTATGCATTACGGGCTCCCAGGGGCAGATAAGAGTTGGTCTCTCTCCGAGAATAATTATGAATTTAACAACGATTACTGCCTGATGACATTTTCCCACATCTGCAAAGCTCACTGGAAGGACACAAACCGAGGACAATATTTTCCTGATATAGGGTTTATTACTCAAGTAAGGGTAAAAAAGTATCTGATTAGAAGGCTACTTGAGTACTGAGTATCATCTGATCTAATATTTTTAAATGACATCAAACAGACAAAAAATAAGAAGTTATGGGCAAATATTGGCATTTTAAAGACTAAAGGGGCAAAATGTAAACAAATAAACAACATAATTACAAAATAACACATTTTAGGCAACATTTAGACACAAACTGAGGACAATATTTCCTGACATACAGGGCTTATTTAATTGTGTGAAAATGTAACACGTTTAAAAAAAATACCGCGATACCGAAAACCGTGTTAATTTTGGTCACAATAACCGTGAGGTTAAATTTTCACACCATGACGACCCTAACACAGACCATTTCAGATTAGGTTACATTTCCTTTATTCCCAGATTATGTAGCTTGTACCACTCGTTATAATGTTGTAGAAAATTTCTGGCCAATCCACGTGATCGGTATCGGTGATCGGCAGCAAAAAACCTGATCGGTGCATCCATATTTAATATTGCTAACTTATTTGTTGCTAATTAAAAACTTCACACGTGCATTTTTATTCACTGTACATTGTTTAGTTATTGAGGTGAATCCATTTTGTTTTGCTACTGTTAAACTAAACATCCCATCTGAGGGACAATAAAAGTATTTTTTATTTTAATGTAAGACTTAAATGTAGGTTTTAAAGAATGTTTTACCTGTTAAAATCACTTAAATATTTTCTAAATAAAGAGCAAGAGCCTGCAAGTCCGTGGTTACAAACTACTTCCGATCGAGGTTCTCCCGGTGGAGGTGAGCCCGCCATCTTGATGTCTGCAGCCAGACCCTCTTGGGGATGAGGAGGGACGTGATGCTGGTCTCTGCCAGCTACAAAGGATGAGCCACGCTGATTGGCTGGTGCAATCATCTTTGAGAGGTGTTGATCAGTATTTGGAGATCAAGTTTTTTTCACACGGATCGGCCGATCAATCAAAATATTCCTAGAAACCACACTTTAGAACGCCTTCAAACATTTTCCATGATTTCACAGTAACGCAAACACTTCTGGTGGATTCTTCTTCGTTGGTATTTGGCTGCATGGTCTTGCAGTTGGTGGACTGGAAATCAGAAATAAAACATTTCTGAGAAAATCTGAAAATTTGTACCGGTTCCAATCGATGCTCGATGCCCAACCGTACCCCGACCCAAACCCGGATAAGTGGAGGAAGATGGATACAAATAAATAAACTATACATGTATGTCACATATCTACATACATATCCATATACATACAATCATTCCTTACCTCATTCCCAGACCATCGCTTGTTGCCACTGTCCACACTATTAAAGCCAGAGTCTAGCCCTCCAAACTGACCGGAGAACAGCTCCTGGTCCGACAGGCTACAAGAAAGGGTGTCAAACACATGTTGGGCTGTAATTATATAGTACTGGTAAACACTGGGAGTTTTTTGTTTCTGTTCTAGTCTAGTATCACCTTCTTCAGCTCAGATTCGATCAGATATTCCATCTTTAAGGTGTTAAATCTTTGATTTGGGGACATAATTCAGTAAGCAGCTGAATCACGTCCCCTTAGGTTTGTGCAGATTTGAAAAATGCTGCTTCTGTTTATTTCCCACCATTATGAGTTTTTGCAACTCTTATCCTGTCGAGTGACGATCGTACATGCCCACACCTATAATGGACACCTCACACCACCCCCATAACTAAAGGAACGACTTAAACAAGACATGCCCATAGTTAGTTTAAACAACAATAAAAAACATTGCGTTCTTTTAATGTAATAATTATTCTCTAATGTAACAGAACATTTTAATGCCTCAATAAGAAAAAAAAGTCTACATTTTGTCACATGAGATCAATCTCTGTCTGCCTGGGAGGCGGAGTTTCCTGTGGTTAGCTGAAAGCAGGACGAGCAGCTTGCTCTGTGCAAAGTTAAATTAGTTCCTTAACCTCAACATGTGTCTAACATCTGTAGTGGTGTCAACATGTCAAAGATGAGCACAGCTCTTAGTTTGAGGTCCGGATTCTGTGGTTTCTTGACTGAAAGGCTCAAGGAAGAACCAGGTGGCAGTGAAGCAGGGAGTGTTAGAGGGTTAGGGTTGGAGCATGGAGCTCATCTCAGCTATTAAAGCGTTCAAACATCATTTAATGCAAACTTTTGATTTTATTACTGAGGTCTTGCCAACGTAGGCTGTTGCAGAATATCTTTCCTGTCCAATTTCAAGACTGATGAAAAAACTCCAGACCAAGTCTCAGTCAGGACAAGATGGCTAATGTGGCGCTTTCCAAAAACTCAGCTCTGTTTTTATAAGACTAATAGAAAAGTTTAGGCAGAGAATGAAACTTCGAACAGTGCTGTGCAGACAACCATACCATCAGCCGGTGCTCACTAGAGTCCTGGCAGGACTATTCATTATAATCCAGCCCCCCCATCCACTCTCTTTGGGTTTCTGATTACTACCCTCTTATGCCCCTGCATTATCTGTGACCAACCCCACTTGCTCCTGCCTCTCCACACATAGACCAACAAAAAAGTAGGTTTATATGGACTGTTTGAAAGACCATGGCACACCTTTTTTAATTTGGGAATATCTAATTTTCCATTCTTTTCATATTCTCCAGCCTTAACTTTGTTAGCTACCTGTGGTGTACCATATCTTCTACCAGCTCAGTGGCCTAGAGGTATTAGTGTCGGCCCTGAGACTCGGAGATCACACGTTCAAATCCACGGTTCCTGCTTGACACTCAGCATTAAGGGGTTTGACTGGGGGGTTAAACTACCAAATGGTTCCCGAGCGCGGCTTTCCCTCAGGGAAAGTGGAACCTGCGGGATCCACTTTCCTGTTGCACGGCTTTGGTCACTTCACAGACCTAAAAGCTCTGTTGAGGATGCAAACTGCTGCCATCATCGAATCCACCACTGGATTAGTATCTCCGAGGCAACATTTTAAGGAAACGTCTTGGAAAGAAATACTGGGGATCGTGGTAAGTTGAATGAGCTGCCTATCTCGTCATCGGGCTTACAGACGACATCCACCCAATCAACCTCTCAGACCAACGATCGTATGGATGCAACATGACCATATCAACCAGAGCAGAAGTGGGCGCTAGTCTTCTGACGACACAGGGTGAACACTTCCCAGGATCCGGCATTCCGTCTGATACGGTTGAGTTTGTCATCGTGGCTGAAATGTCATTCATGTTGGAAACACAGAACTTGCGATTCCTTAAAAAAGAACCTGTGAATGTTGGTAAAACGATCATAATTTCATCTCAGAAGAAGACTTCTGCAAAGACGCTTACAAGGTGAGACACACAGAGCGCCACCAGTAGTCTATATTGATGTTTCCTCTCCAGTCCTCGTGTTCAGAAAACATCAGCCGCTAGTCTTTATGTAAAGAATGAATTCACGGAAATACAGTTTTAATCAGAAACCCGTTAAGCCGGGGACACACCGGCCGCCGAAGCGCCGGGAGGCGAATCGCTCGCGAAGTTCGGCCGCTGCTCCTCAGTTCAGACCAGACGCTTGTTTCTCCCCTCCGGTCGAGGCGCGCCTCGTAGTTTTTCTTTTAACCACTTGGTGGCCTCCATTTCCTCTCTGCCTTTTCTCTGCTCTTTTCCTCGACACCCCCCTCCCCCTTGCTGTTTGTGTGTGTGTTTGTACGCGTGTGTGTGTGAACCTATGGTGTGAACCAGTTGTTAATAGCTGTCCTACGACTTTCTGCCTCTGCCCTGTTTGCTCCGGTTGAAAGACACCCAAAACCACACCCCCTTCACGTGGTCACACACACACAAGTTCGCTGTGTGTGTGTGTGTGTGTGTGTGTGGTTTTTATGCGAAGTCTGTTTAAGAACACATTTGACTATGGTGGAATTTTATTTTGAAATGCTTTATTTTGTTAAATTTACCGTCCTGCCTCTTATGTCTAGGTTTGACTTCCTACCAGAATTGATGCGGTTCACCCGCGGCTCGCAAAAGAAATAGAGCAGACGCCGAAACGATCGCTGCAAGGCGCGGGCTGGAGCACCGGCGTGCGGCGCTTCGGCGGCCCATGTGGTCTATAGAGTAGGATAACAAGGGCGCCGAATGAAGGCGGTCCCCTTGTCGCGGCGCTTCGGCGGCCGGTGTGTCCCCGGCGTTAGTCATTAGTAACAGATATGTTTTGGTGAACTAAAGAGGTAATAACGTCCCCTCGAATCATGTGATCACTGAACATTTAGACTGCTATAATAAATTCTGTTTTTTATTTGTTTTCTTTCAATTACATTTATTTAAAATTATTGAGTAAAAAAATTTTGTATTGAATGAATAAATTAATTTCTAATTTCATCTTTTGGATTTTCACAGTTTCCCTCACCAGCTTTTAAATCCAGATGGCCTCAGCTTCAGATGCTTCTCCAGTTCTTCATGACTCCTACAGGCCTCCATGTTCAGGTACTTAAAGATATGATATTTGCCTTTGGAGCAGATCTGTGCGGGTGGCATTTGAAGGGGATTGTTGTCCAGAGCGATGATCTGTAGGTGGCGGAGGCGACGGAAGCACAGGGGGACGTGGGAAATTCGGTTGCAGGACACGTCAAGACGAACAAGTGGAAGTTCAGATATTTCTGGATCAGAAACAGAGAAGGAAGTTTACAGATGGTGAGGTGCTTCAGTCTCAACCATGATTTAGTACTTTTTCTTTTCACAGTGAGGTCATCATCATTTTTTAAATTTGGTTTCTGAAAATCCATTTTACATTTTAAACGTAAAAAAGTAGAGAGCCACAGAATCGACCAAAGGTAGCAGCTGGTTGTCTCTGATGTTACTGAGCGGAGAACCTCTCACACCGGTGGTGTTCTGCTGCTAAATACTCAAGTATGTAATGACTAGGTTTACATGCAGCCAATATCCGGGTTATGATCGGGTTAAGGTCGGTATTCGGGTTTCTGAGGTGATCAGAATAACCCGTTTACAAGCACAAATAGAAAGAGTTACCCCTAACTTGTATAACCCGATGTAAATGCGGACGTTGGGGTAGCGTCAGGACGTATGGACTACGTCCAGACGCAATATGCGTCATTTCCGGTTCTTCTTGTTCCGGTATCCATGAAAACAACAACATGTTTCCCAGTTCGGAAGAGATAGCGACCGCATTTGTTTGCGCTTTAGTTTCTTCATCACTCCGAAAGTGTGGTGCAGTGCCGCGACTCGCCATGTTGCTCCCAACTTGTTGTTTACTTCTGGTGTTCTGGCGCATACAAGACGTCTCGCTACTCAAAAGACCAAGATTCCTTGCGAACAGAGCAAGTGCAGAACACACGCTTTGATGGGGGTATCCCGGTATGCGTTTACACGACCAAACATTCGGGTTAGAAAAGGGTTACCCCAGGTGTAGTAACCGGGTCTTTAAAAACCCGGTTATGAGCATATCCGGCGCACCTCGTAGTTTTTCTTTTAACCACTTGGTGTCCTCCATTTCCTCTCCGTCTTTTCTCTGCTCTTTTCCTCGACGCCCCCCTCCCCCTTGCTGTTTGTGTGTGTGTTTGTACGTGTGTGTGTGTGTGTGTGAACCTACGGTGTGAACCAGTTAATAGCTGGCCAACGACTTTCTGCCTCTCTGTCCTGTTTGCTCCGGTTGAAAGACACCCAAAACTAGGGCTGCTCAATTAATCGAATTTTAATCACAATTACGATCTGAGTTTTGAACGATTATAAAAACAAAACAAGCTGATTATTTGCTCCTCCCGCTTGCGCTGCCCTGAGTTGCAAATGAAGCGCTCCTCCCACAGTGTTGCCAACTTGGCGACTTTGACGCTATTTCTAGCAGCTTTTCAGACCCCCTTCTTGACTTTTTAAATCTTAAAAGTACCTAACGAACATCTCAGAAACATCTCTGGTAACCCTTAGCTACTTTCTGGATAACTGTCGTCGACATTTCCTGCGCATATGAGCATATCCGGGGTTTTGGCGGTGTTTACATGGACCTGCGGAACCGGGTTATTGTGAATATTCGGGTTTTTAAAAGGGTTACTGGCTGCATGTAAACACACTCAATGAGTGGAGGACCCAGGGTAGCGAGGGGGTTCTGCGAGACCGACAACCGGATGGTCCAACAGTTGCTTTTGGTCCCAACCGTGTTAACGGCAGAGAGTTTTAGACAAATGTGAGAGAACCACTTTATGAATAATTTCTTATCTCCACAACATAGTGGACCTCTAGTTATAGCTACGTTATGCTAGAACGGAGTTAATGCATGAAAAAAGGATTTAAGCTCAACTGTTCTCCAGATTTGCTATCGCAGCTTAAAGACACGATCGTCTTATTTACCAAAGACTTCTTCTAGGTGTATTCGCTGAAAAAGACGAGAGGTCAAAGGTCAAGCGTGTCAGTACCTTCAGGCAAAGTGGTGATCCGGTTCCTCCTCAGGTTTAGGTCCCTCAGACACTCGAGCTGACCGAGTTCTCCTGGTAGAAGCTGCAGCTCATTACAGCTGACATCCTGAGAGAGAACAAACAGAAGGCGCCACGATCAGCCCGACACTACGGACATGTCTCACCAGTAACTCATTACACATATACAGCGAGAATGACCTATGTGGAATAGGGAGTGAGTGAGTGAGTCCATACCAGCTGTCGGAGGCGTGTGAGGGAATATACGGACGAGGGTAGCGAAGAGAGCTTGTTGTTGGATACGACGAGTACTCGCAGGAGGGGAAGCTGAAACACCGATGGGGGTAAGCTGGACAGGAGATTACGGCTGTGGACACACAAACACACACACCACCACAAAAAAACTGATGTTACTCGATTGGTTTAAAGAGGTATAGCCACATAATTGCTCAAATTAAAACATAAAATAAGTGAACTAAAATAAAAAAATCTCCTGACAAACAAGAGTCAAAGCAACATGCTTAACAGCTGACTTAAAGCTGCTACGCCTAGAAATGGTCTAAAACTCATTTTCACTGAAGGCATCATCTCTAGAGCCGCGCACAGACCTAAAATCTGAGCCCGTGTCCGGCCCGGCCCGAGGGGGTGGAGCCCCAGCCCGACCCGGTGCGAAAAGGTTCTCAGGATTCTCTGGCCCGACCCGAGCCCGACTTTTTTTGTTAACCTTTCATAATGTTTTAGCGTGATAGAACGCTCAGCATTCTAATTATCTGTGGGAAGCGTTCTGCAGTAAAATAAAAAGAAAAAGAAAAGAAAGAAAAACAGCATCAATGCAGCTTTTTTTTCTAACAGAGCGTATTTTCCGAGCGGCAGATGAAATTTACGAACACTATATTAATTGGATGCGTTTGTAAATTTAATCTGCTCTGAAAACGCGCTCTTGTGCAATTAGAAAAAAAAGCAGCATTCTAATTTTCTAACTGCAGAGCGGCAGATTAAATAAACGCCCCCAGTTAATATCGCGTTTGTAAATTTAATCTGCCGCTCTGAAAATGCGCTCTCCAGTTAGAAAAAAAAAACAGCAATGAATGCTGTAATTATTTTTACTGCAGAGCGAATTTATTCACAGAAAAATAGAATGCTGCCGTTTTCATGAGAATGAACGAATGTTTCTGACATCAAAGTGGACATAAAATGGCGTATTAGAACAGGGGCACATGTTTCAATCAGCAGTTTGAGAATTTGTTTATATCGGCGCGTTTATAAACCACACACACCTTAACTGAGCTAACGGTGCGTGAGAAGCAGGCAGGCGCTGCTGCGTTCAAGTGTTTCTGTTTTATTAATGAATTTGATTAAAAATGAAGGCGCCCGGCCCGGCCCGTGTCTGAGGTAATTACACAGTCATTGGCCCGAAGCCCGGCCCTCGGGCCGTCGAGCTGGGCTGACCCCCGGGCCTAGGGCTCCAGTGCAGGGCTCTAATCGTCTCCACTGTAATCTGCGCTGCAACTTTGTCTTCTCCTTTAGCTCTAAACTGTAATTCCATTTGTGTGTATTTGAGGCCCTGTCCACACGTAGCCGGGGATCTGCCAAAACGTAGATATTTTTCTACGTTTTGGCCTGTCATCCACACGAAAACGGAGTTTTTTCACATGAAAACGGATCTTTTTAAAAACTCCGGCCAAAGTGAAGATCTGCGTTTTCTCCGTTTTGGGTGTCTGCGTGTGGACAGACAAAACCGGAGTTTTAAGGTCCGCAACGTCACTTTCCGCGACAAACAAATGCTGACACCACGTGTCAAAAGTCAAAGTCAAAGTCATTTATTGTCATATTCTCCACATGTGCAGGACATACAGAGAAATGAAATTCAGTTTCAGCACACACAATTCAAAGATCAGACATACGTGGGTAAGACACATAACAAGAATTGGTGACTGCGGTCATTCGCAACATGAGTCGCGCTACCTTAATAGTTAGATGAAAAGGGTGTTACATGAGGAAAGTTCAGGGGGGGGGGGGGGGGGGGAAACTGGCCGACAGCATGGATGCCCTCAGAGCTGCGCTCGCTTTATCAATCGTCCAAGCGCTTTTTGCTTGTTTGTTTTTACAAGCGAAATTACTGCTCCTTGTGGAAGACCACAGACGAAGGACGAGGTTAAGAACGGGGGAAGTACTGCCGCCTACAGGTCTGGCATGTCCTTAACAACGTATTTATCCGGGTACGTGTGGACAGAGTTTTGTTTTTAAACGAGGTGGTGTGGATGCAAGTTTTTGGAGGGGCGGATATTCGTTTTTAAAAAACCCCGGCTACGTGTGGTCTAGGCCTTAATTTGTGTTTTTATGTGTTGTCATATCATGTCCTGAAAGTTGCATAGCACAGTGAATTGCCTCTGTGTTTGAAATGTGCTCTAGAAATAAAGCTACCTTGCCTTGCCTTCTTCAAAATGATGGAGAAAAAGAACTCCCCACTAGCTACACAGAAAGACTGTGTGTGTGTGTGTGTGTGTGTGTGTGTGTGTGTGTGTTTACAGTTTAGGTGAGGAAGGACCCAGACTCCAGACTCCCTGTATGGGGAGGAGCATTGCAATGTTGACGAAGCAATAATAATTTCAGCCATCTCCAATAGTTTTGCAAAAATCTGCAGAGTTGAAGGGAAGCAGCAGCTGAGAGAAAACTGCATGTGTGAAGTCAAAACCCGCTTTGTGGGAAATAACAATAAAACGTAATAAAAAGTGCCAAAATGTAGAATTTGCACAATATATCACATTGCTGTTAATAGGGTTGGGTGGTATCCAAATGTTAATATTGTCCAACCTCCTCCACGTATTACCACAGTGTAAGGTAGGGCTGCACAATATATCGCAAATATATCGTTATCGCGATATCAGCATGCACAATATGCATATCGCAAAGAACAGATAAATATTGCAATGAATGGTCAGCTCAAATGTTTGCTACACATAATTCATTCTGTCAACAACGGAAGCATGATGCTCTTCACCCATTTGGCCAATTGGGTGGGTTCTCATTAGTTAGATGCCCACCCCCGAGGCGGACGGCACAGAATTTTGATGGTTAGCAAAAACACCTGAGTTAGCTTTGTTCTGCTGATTCTGCTTTTCCCGGGATCCACTGATTGCCTTTCCCTGTTCGATTGCTTTTTCCCTTTCCTCACATCTTTTGCTTTCCTCACTTTGATGATTTTTTTGTCATTTTCTTATGTCTTTGTTTTTGATTATTTTTGTTCCTGAGTTAAGCTTTTATTTATCGCGAGTAATATCGTCACTGCAATATTAATCACTGTTATCACATATCGCAAGGTTGTCCTAATATCGTGCATTCATAGAGTACGGTATTACCGGGACTGATTTAAAAATGATAAAGTAAGCCTCAAGTGTTAGTTTGGACCTCCATCGTTCAGAAACTGAATAACAAACACGATCACTAAACAATAGCAACATGACACACATAATATTAACAACTTTTAAAAAATGCAGCTTATAAAAATATTTTTTGCCTGAAAAACACAACAAATACGGCGTAAACAAAAATATTTTTATGCTCATTTGTGACTTCCAAGACTCTAGAGCCCTCACAATTCACCCCCAAAAGAAGTCCTCTGGACATAACGCACAAAAAATTATTTAGTTTTTATAATGTTAATTTATTTTGGGACAAAACATGCTGCTAAAGGTGTTGAATCTCAAAAACACACATATTTTACTTTGTTTGGTGAGGACCGAAGCTATAGATGGGATTTGTGTAAAAAAAAATTTGACATTTGAACTAAGTGAATTTCCTCACTGTGGTATCAATAAAATCTATTCTTGTGCTCGGCTTCTGACCAAGTCCTCCAAACACACCCACATCACCCTGCTTCTCCTCCAGCTTCACTGGCTGCCAGTCAACTTCAGGGTTCATTTCAAGATCCTGGTTCTGGTCTATAGGGCCTTACATGGACAAGCACCATCTTACATTGGTGATCTTCTTAGTCCCTACACCCCCAGCAGGTCCCTGAGGTCCAGTGATCAAAGCCTACTGGTTGTGCAGCACCAGGCTAAAGGTCAAAGGTGACAGATCATCTGCTGCTGTGGCCCCCAGACTCTGGACCTCTCTCCCCCTGAGCCTGAGATCAGTGGACTCAGTGGTCTCCTTTAAAAAGCAGCTGAAGACTCACTTGTTCAAGCTGGCTTTTGTATGACCTTCTTCACCTCTCTCTCTTTATTCTGCTCTCCCCACCTATTCCACCTTCCTCAGGATCCACTGGTTTCCCTCTTTCCTGTTCACTCTCTCTCTTTAACACATTTTTTTAATTCCAATTGTCTATTTTTGCTCATTTTAATATATTTTTAAACATTTTCTAAATGCTTTTTTATATTTTTACAGTTTTTGTTTTTGTGAAGCGACTCTTGATTTTTATCTTGAGAGGCGCTATAGAAACGATATTTTCTTCTTCTTCTTTCTATTTCTATAATCTATATTAGAAAATTTCTAATATAGAATTTTTATTGAACCTTTTGCCAAAATGCATTTTTCTGTGCAAGGGTCCCCAGTGCAGCTTTTTTAAAGAAACTCCAAGGGTTAATAACCAAGTCGGCCATTTTTCTCATTTGCGCTGTCACGTGATGACATCACGTTCATAAACTTTACGGAACGTGTTTCCTACTCATTGCCTGTTAAATGCTAAACCACAGTCCAAGTGACTGTGGATCAGACTAAAATTATAGTGAAGACTAAAGTATTTTAGTATTCCTTTTAATCAACTGTACACACGTGCATGTTTTGATATTGCTTTATGGCCTGTGCTGACATTTTATCTACAAACAAATTTCCTAATGGACAAAATAAGTGAATTTTGATGTCATTTGACTAATGAAATAAAAGTTTGAAGCTAATTCGTTTTCCAAATTTACTTTTGCAGCTTTAAATGATAGTAGGAACCCTCCATGAAAGATACTGAATGAGACATAAACCCACCAGTGAATTTAAAGTGCTAACCTGACCTGGACAATTAGTGCAACTTCAACTGTACAACACAAAATAAACGTAAATAAATACTAATTATAGAAACAATGAGCTCGTTAACTTATCCACCAGCAGCAATAACTACTTTGTGTTTCGTGGTGAAATTAGACATGTTGACTTACCTGAGGTTGAGGTAGGTGAGGGCCTGAAGGTTGCCCAGGCTGGAAGACAATGAGCGCATTCCATTGTGGTACAGGCTCAGTGTCTCCAGAGAGATGAAGTGACAAAGCTCGTCTGGAAGCTCACACAGGTGATTCCTCGACAGATCTGAAAGTAAAATGAATGCCAGTCTAAGACCAATCCTTTACACCTTTAGTGGGAAATAAAGAACAATCACAGAAACAAATCCTTTTAGGATTCTTAAGATGATTTGGAAATGTAACACTGAGACAGGAGTTTGAGTGCCCTAATGATCCTAGGAGCTATGTTGTCTGGGGCACTTGGTGCCCCTGGTAGGGTCTCCCATGACAAATTGGTCTTAGGTGAAGGGTGAGACAAAGAACGGTTCGAAGGATCTTTCATGGCGGTTAAAACGAAGAGTCGGAGTACCCGGCCCGGAGGGTTACCGGGGTCCCACCCTGGAGCCAGGCCTGGGGTTGGGGCCCGTGAGCGAGCGCCTGGTGGCCGGGCTTTCGCCCATGAGGCCCGGCCGGGCCCAGCCCGAACCGGATACATGGGCTCGTCCAACTGTGGACCCACCACCCGCAGGAGGAACATGAAGGGTCCGGTGCAATGCGAATCGGGTGGCAGACCAAGGCGGGAGCCTTGGCGGTCCAATCCCCGGACAAGAAAACTAGTTTTTGGGACATGGAACGTCACCTCGCTGGCGGGGAAGGAGCCGGAGCTTGTGGCAGAGGTTGAGCGGTACCGGCTAGATATAGTCGGACTCACCTCGACACATTGCATTGGCTCTGGAACCCGAGACCTGGAGAGGGGTTGGACACTCTACTTTGCTGGAGTTGCTCCGGGTGAGAGGCGGAGGGCTGGGGTTGGCTTTTTGTTAGCCCCGAGACTCTCTGCCTGTGTGTTGGGGTTTACCCCGGGGGACAAGAGGGTAGCTTCCTTGCGCCTTCGGGTCGGGGAACGGGTCCTGACTGTTGTTTGTGCTTATGGGCCAAATATCAGTTCAGAGTACCCACCCTTTTTGGAGTCCCTGGGACGAGTGCTAGATAGTGCTCCATCAGGGGACTCCATTGTCCTGCTGGGGGACTTCAATGCTCACGTGGGCAATGACAGCTTGACCTGGAGGGGTGTGATTGGGAGGAACGGCCCACCTAATCTGAACTCGACCAGTGTTTTGTTATTGGACTTCTGTGCAAGCCGCAGTTTGGCCATAACGAACACCATGTTCGAACATAAGGATGCCCACCGGTACACTTGGTACCAGGGCAGCCTAGGTCACAGGTCGATGATAGATTTTGTAGTCGTATCATCTGACCTGCGGCCGTATGTTTTGGACACCCGAGTGAAGAGAGGGGCGGAGCTGTCAACTGATCACCACCTGGTGGTGAGTTGGATCAGATGGCAAGGGAACATGCCGCGTAGACCTGGCAGACCCAAACGCATAGTGAGGGTCTGCTGGGAATGCCTGGCAGAAGAACCTGTCAAGACGGTCTTCAACTCCCACCTCCGGCAGAGCTTTGACCACGTCCCGAGAGCAGTGGGGGACATTGAGTCCGAGTGGGCCTTGTTCCACTCTGCGATTGTCGAGGCGGCTGTTGCTAGCTGTGGTCGTAAGGTGGCCGGTGCCGGTCGTGGTGGCAACCCCCGTACCCGCTGGTGGACACCAGAGGTTCGGGGAGCCGTCAGGCTGAAGAAGGAGGCCTACAGGGCGTGGCTGGTCTGTGGGTCTCCGGAGGCAGCAGACAGGTACCGGATAGCCAAGCGGGGTGCAGCAGTGGCAGTTGCCGAGGCAAAATCTCGGGCGTGGGAGGAGTTTGGTGAGGCCATGGAGAAAGACTATCGATCGGCTCCAAAGAGGTTCTGGCAAACTGTCCGGCGCCTCAGGAGAGGAAGACAGCAACTCGCTCACACTGTTTACAGTGGGGATGGGGAGCTGCTGACGTCAACTGAGGCTATAGTCGGACGGTGGAAGGAATACTTTGAGGAGCTCCTCAATCCCACCAATGCGCATTCCGAGGAGGAACCAGAGCTGGGAGGCCTGGGGATGGACTGTCCGATCTCGGGGGCAGAAGTTGCTGAGGTAGTCAAACAACTACACAGCGGCGGAGCCCCGGGGGCGGATGAGGTTCGTCCTGGGTATCTCAAGGCTATGGATGTTGTAGGGCTGTCATGGTTGACACGTCTCTACAACATTGCGTGGTCATCAGGGGCAGTTCCTAGGGAGTGGCAGACCGGGGTGGTGGTCCCCATCTTTAAGAAGGGTGACCTGAGGGTGTGTTCCAACTATAGGGGGATCACACTCCTCAGCCTCCCTGGAAAGGTCTACGCCAAGGTACTGGAGAGGAGGGTCCGATCGATAGTTGAATCTCAGATAGAGGAGGAGCAATGTGGTTTTCGTCCTGGCCGTGGAACTGTGGACCAGCTCTATACCCTTGCAAGGGTGATGGAGGGGGCATGGGAGTTTGCCCAACCAATCCACATGTGCTTTGTGGATTTGGAGAAGGCTTATGACCGTGTCCCCAGGGGCACCCTGTGGGGGACGCTCCAGGAGTATGGGGTGGGTGGCTTTCTGTTAAGGGCCATTCAGTCCCTTTACCAGAGGAGCGTGAGTTTGGTCCGCATAGCCGGTAGTAAGTCGGACCTGTTCCCAGTGAGGGTTGGACTCCGCCAGGGCTGCCCTTTGTCACCGGTTCTGTTCATCACTTTTATGGACAGAATTTCTAGACGCAGCCGTGGTGTGGAGTGTGTCGAGTTTGGTGGCAGGAGAATCTCGTCTCTGCTTTTTGTGGATGATGTGGTCCTCCTAGCTTCATCCAGCTCTGACCTTCAGCTCTTGCTGGGTAGGTTCGCGGCCGAATGTGAAGCGGCTGGGATGAGGATCAGCACCTCCAAATCTGAGACCATGGTTCTCGACCGGAAAAGGGTGGCTTGCCACCTCCGGGTCGGGGGAGAGGTCCTACCTCAAGTAGAGGAGTTTAAGTATCTCGGGGTCTTGTTCACGAGTGAGGGTAGGAGGGATCGGGAGATCGACAGGCGGATTGGTTCGGCGTCTGCAGTGATGCGGACGCTGAGCCGATCTGTCGTGGGGAAGAGGGAGCTGAGCCAGAAAGCCAGGCTCTCGATTTACCGGTCGATCTACGTCCCAATCCTCACCTATGGTCATGAGCTTTGGGTAATGACCGAAAGAACGAGATTGCGGATACAAGCGGCCGAAATGAGTTTCCTCCGTAGGGTGGCCGGGCTCAGCCTTAGAGATAGGGTGAGGAGCTCGGACATTCGGGAGGGACTCGGAGTAGAACCGCTGCTCCTCCAGATCGAAAGGAGCCAGTTGAGGTGGTTTGGGCATCTGGTCAGGATGCCTCCTGGACGCCTCCCCGGGGAGGTGTTTCGGGCATGTCCTGCCGGCAGAAGGCCCCCGGGTCGACCCAGGACACGTTGGAGAGGTTACATCTCCAATATGGTCCGGGAACGCCTTGGAGTCCTGCCGGAGGAGCTGGTGGACAAGGCCGGGGAGAGGACGGCCTGGAGCTCCCTAATTGGGATGCTGCCCCCGCGACCCGGACCCGGATAAGCGGAAGAAGACGAAGACGAAGACGAAGAACACTGAGACATTGAGATATACATCATACCAGACTTTAACCAAAAGATAAGGGTGATAAGTTTTGGTCCGTAGTACCAGCCCTACCCATAGAAAATAAAGTTCACAGGAACCAGATAGGTGGACTTGATGAAGCTGTCCATTACTGCAACCCCACCTCATCCCTGGTGTGAAGAGCTTTACCAGAAAAGGGTGAATCTTTCCATTTTCTGGTTTCTGCTAGCTTGTTTCTTCACCATCTAAGAAGTTTCTCTGATTGCGAGTGGTCATCACATTTTTTCTACTTAAAAGGGACTTTACGGAGTTTTGAATTTTTATGCTCGTGATCGCCCCCTCAGGCCAAAAGCGTAACGGCAGCTTCAATAGTAGGCTCGTGCACGAGGCGCGCATGCTGTACGTGCACACTCCTTAAGGAAAATAACAGCTGAGACAGTCCCTTGTGTGTGTGTGTGTGTGTGTGTGTGTGTGTGTGGTGGGGGTGTGTGTGTGTGTGTGTGTGTGTGTGTGTGTGTGTGTGTGTGTGTGTGTGTGTGTGTGTGTGTGTGTGTGTGTGTCGGAGGACAGAGGACAGGAGAACGCACAGCTAATTAATTAAATAATGTGGTTCTGTACCTTTCTCTTCAGCACAGCCGACAAAGGTTTATGATGGGTCAGTCCTCCTGCATGCTCAGATCATTCCCTTCCCTTGCTTGAAAAATTGTTCCAAAATGAAAGTTGAACCCACATCTTTTTTATCTGTGAATTCAATGCTGTTCAGCGAGTCTCAAATAAAAATTTGTGCATCTTACTGTAAAAATATACCATTAATGTAAAAATAAACTCTAAATGAACTAAGTTCACATCCAGAATCAAACCCAGGTCTTCTCACGAGAGTCCGACGTCTTACTAGGTGAGCTAAAGTGCCAGTGAGGTTTTTGGTATCTGTAACATTTATATCCTTGATGACAGCTGAAACAACGTTCAAAGAACGGTTCGGAGTGCAAAATGGCTATTTTGTTGCTAATTTGCAGGAAATATCTAGAAGAAAGTTCTACAGAAAGTAGCTAAGGGTCCTCAGAAATGTAGCTAGCTTTGTCACTAGGCGTTAGGAACAGCGACAAAGTGGCACTGCCTCTCTCTCTGCTGCTAAAGCTACGGATAGCAAATGCTACGGGCGATGCCTGAGCGTGAACGTGCATGAAGCAGCCTGCTCGACCCGAGCATCTCTCTTTTTCTGTGATTTTACAGAAAAACAGGCAATCATAGTAAAAATGCCACGGCTCATTCTACAGGACCAGGGCATTGCAGGAGAATGAATGAAGAAGACATTTATTATTTCTATACATGTTTTTGGCCGTCAAACTTCCATAATGTCCCTTTAAAATAAAATATCTGCAGTATTGTTCTGCCCTACACTAAGCTGTGCAGTTTTTAAGTTTATTGGGGGCGAGACTAAAGAGCAAGTTCACTGAGAAACCTTTGTTACCTGTTTACTTTAAAATATGATTGGCACTCATGCAGGCTGAATGTAAAAACGGTCTTCCACCCTTATTTCCTGCAGATAGAA